AGCAACTTAAGCAAGTTCTGAAAAAAAAATTCAAATACGTTAATTTGAAAATTTTGGGTTTTCTTTTACAAAAACATTTGTCTTAAAAGGTTGCAATTATTTTTGCATGTTTGATTTCACTGGATTAAGGGATTTTCAAAATTTGTAATTTATTTGTAAATGAATCGTCATTTCTTTGCAACTCGATGTTGTAGACCTTTGATATTTCAAACTATAAGTTCTGTTAGATTAAATAATCTAACTTTAAAATATCGAAGGTTTTAAGAACATCAGATTGCAAAGATATAGGGATTAGAAAATTTAAGTTCATATAAATTCTCAACTATTTTCCTTGTATTGTAATATTATTTATTTATTTATTTCAGGGATTTATTTACTGGTGATATAGATCTTGAGGATATAAGAACAGATCTGCTCCCTCCTCTTCGTATCCCTGTCTCCTCCCTCCCTGCCCCGCCTCAGGGGGTAAAGGAGGGCGTATATATTGGTACAGGGGTCGGCGGGACACTTCTCATCATTGCCCTTCTCCTCGGAATCCATTGCCTCAAAAAAATAAGGTGAATTTTTGTTTGTTTGTTAAAAACACTTTATTTTGAATCAATTTTTTGATATTAATTACTGTAAATATTAATTACTGTAAATAACTTAAACCCCTGATTTATAGAATTTCCAAACTTAAAACCTACAGAAAGAAAGAAATTGAGTCTTTCCACCAACTCAAATGGTATTGTCTGTATGTCTTTGCAACCTGATGTTCTTACACCTTTTATTTTTCAAATTTAGATTATTTTATCCAACAAAATTAATAGTTTGAAATATTGAAGGTCTACGACATTATAGGGTGCAAAGATATACAAGGTTTTGTTTGCTCAATCAGATCGGGCATTTTTAGAAATTGAAAAAATCGAAAATCGGTCAAATATTGAAAAAACTATATTTCTGGTGTTGAGTTTTTCTAATTTCAGGAGGAAAGGAGAAGAGAAAAAGATTTCAAATAATTTCCTCGGAGATAATGAAAATCAGAATTTGAAGCAAAGTTTAGGAAAATATATTTTTATCATTAATCATTTTACGTAATTATTTCCATAATAATATTGTTAGACTATAGAAATATTACTGATGTAAACCTTTAGCTTTGGGATTTCCAAAATACATTCTGAGATTTTCATACAAATACATATCTCATGGTCATTTCAAGCATGCAACATTTTTCAATTGATCAATAATTCAAAATATTTGTGTTTTAGGGGGAAAAATATATTTTTGTAGGAACTAGCTTTCAACAGTTTTCTGAAACAAGTTTTAATAAAATATATACTCTTATCAAACCTAGGGTAAAAGAACGTTCTGAAAATAATTACTATTATGTATAAGTAAAATCTTTTTTGGTACTTTATAAAATATTTAATGTTTTAAAACTTTTAAAGGTTTAACAAGAACTAAATTTGTTTGATATATTTCAAAATTGTACTCTGACTAAGTTAAATAATGCAAAATTTTGACTCTAGTTCATCTTTAATTTTGTGAATATTTGAAAATAATCTTTTGTCAATTTCATAATCTTTATTCGTTTCTTTTGATATTGCTTTTCATATCTACACTTTGATGTTTATTATTTCATTGAACAATCACTACATATGCTGAAATATGTTTGTTTTTCTTCAATATGCTTAATCTGGTTTATTTACTTTATTGAGGGTTTGGCCACAAATCAACAACAAATGTTAAAACTGTTTTGTTGTTAAAGGGAGTGTTCGCGAAAAATGGAAGGGAATATAGGCTTATGGCAAAAAATAAGCGCTTTCGATCGCTACTTATCTAACTTCTATCTGTTGCGTCTATAGGGAGAAAACGACTTAAACTGAAGAACGTAGCGTCCATGCAAATTCAGAAAGTGTCAATTTAAGACTCGGATCGTAAAAACCTATAGTCATCGACTATTTTTCGACGCATTCGTAAATAGTTAATATTTCATAATATTTTTCATTTGTTTAGTATACAATGCACTTAAAACGCCGAAATAGTTGGCCGCCAGAAAAAAAAGTCGTTTCAAGTGCATGTGTATATAAAACAAATACCAATTATTATGAAATATTAACTGTATGGGAATGCGTCGAAAAATAATCGATGACTATAGGTTGTAATATCTGAATAATTTGAAATTGAATTGATTTTATTACGATTCGAGTCTTATATTGCAACTTTCTGAATTTGTATGGACGCTACATTCTTCAGTATAAGTCGTTTTTAACAATTATCTCCTTGTAGAAGCAACAGATAGAAGTAAAATTAGTAGCGATCAAAAGTGATTGTTTTTCGCCGTAATGCATACACTCCCTTTCATTTTTCTCGAACACTCACTTTAAGGTGAAGGTCGAGGAGAATGAGTATGAGGTTGAAGTGAGGGGAACAGGGAAAACATGGATAAACCCACTTGCAAGGTCAGAGAATTTACTACAAAGGAGCAATTTGGGTATTTTGTCTTTTTATATGGTGTACTGTTTTAATATACCTACCATAGAGAATAGAATATATATTAGAGGGGAATTTACTAGAAAAAAGTGTAAAACGGCCATTTTGTTGTATCGTTTCCATACTGCAGGTGTGCTTCACATATTTATGCTATTTAACCTTTAGGGGCCTTGAATATCATTTTATAGAAAATCTAAAATTATTGTTAAAAGAAAACCAAATTATGGCTGGTTTCATAATTGACCAATAATCATTTCACAATCACATAGACTCTATGCCTTCCACTTTACAAACGATGATTTTCCGTTAAAACTCGAAATTAAAATGAATAGTCTAGGGAACATACTTTATTAATGTACTCTACATTTTTGAACATTTACATGATTTGTACACTTTGAACGCCCTTTCAGGCTGAAAGGGACTGAAAAAATTCATACCGAGAGATTCTTTAAATTCCCCTCTAATACATATTCTATTCTCTTTGATACTTACTCATTGTAACGCCAGTCGGATGAGAGTGTAATGCATTCTCATCAGTGCTATGCAGAGTAGCGCTAGACCTTCTTAATACGAATCTCTGAGAGTGTCTGGCGCTACTCTGTATAGAACCGGATAGAATGCATTACACTCTCATCTGACAGGCGCTGTGATGAGAAGTAAGAATAGCTTAGGGGAGGGGTGGAGAAATAAAATAAAATACTTTTAACTCTTATTCATGTTTTTACCCTGTAAAATTCCATTATCTCCATCTTCAGGTATCAGGGGGGGGGAGCAGAGATTTTCAGAGAGAAATGAAATACTTTTAACTTTTATTCCTGTTTTTTCTGAAAATATCTTAATCTCTAGGGGTGGGGTAGAGTGCAGGGTTTCACATGATAAGTACACATATAACAATTGATCTTAATATAGAGCTGTAAGTGAGGTTGGAAGCCAGGGTTCTAAACTAACTGCTTGTACAGATGATAGTCCAAAGGTAGATTGGGATAAGGAACAGATAGAAGAATTTTGTATAGGGAGAGAGAGACACTCTAAACGCCAGGAGCCTCCCAAATTTGCCGTAAAGTACCAAGCCTCTGACATGAATTTTGTTTAGTTGTACTCTTAGATGCAATACCTTTTTATGAAAAATGGTTTTAATTTAGACAATTATTTAAAACAACTATTTTGCAATAAAATACATTTAAATGAATCTTAATATCTTTAAGCAACACAAATTAAAAAATCAATCAATCAATCAATCAATCAATGTTTAATTCATCAATTATTTTATTAATCAATGAAATGTCTGTAGTCTGAGGATGATGGACCTACCAGCCTAGGTCTAGGGATACTAGTGGATGTAGATCAGTATATCCTAGAACGAAACCGAGGACTTCTTCTCAGATCTAAATCAACCTCGGAGCTAGCCTCTAACAGACAGGGAGTTATCCTTGACAGACACACAATGAGTACAGACAGAAGGCGGAGGAAAGCTAAATCTCAACTTGAATTATCTACCGAACAAGAAGAAGACATTCCGCCAATTTTGAAACCAAAAACAACATCTACCGAATATGGGAAAGTTCTCAGGGAAATTTAAATTTGTATCAGAATTGGAAATTTATTTTCTTATGGGATAATTGCAAATTACATTTCAAGATTTTAAAGAATAATACAATCTTTAAAATCTTAAATTACAGATAATCAAATTAAATACTTGATTAGAGAGGTGTATTCTGGAGGAACCTTCAAAAAGTCGATGAACTATTTCAGTTTCAGAGATAAGGAGAAATATAGTCAAGAGTCATTTATAGGTAGGTTTTAAATATAGAAATAGAGGTTACATTAGAAATATTGATAAAGAATAAATGCAACATATAGGACATGTAATAAATATCGTAGTAAACCCCATATTTATATTAGGTTGTACATTATTTGTAACCTAACTATGCTTGTTAATAACTAAGTAAAACCTATCGGTCCTTATCATTACAAGTATTACTTTAATAACGTTCATTAATTTATCCTGTACCATAAAACTGAAATATACATTAGTTGTACAAGATCCTTTGTCTCATGTAAAAGGGCAAAGTGTCAGCTCGAGTTGTATCTTGAACGATAGATACATTTTTAGGAACCTTGAGTTCGAGATTGAGTTGTACCTGTACGATACATATTGAGGAACCTTGAGTACAAGATTGAGTTGCATCTGTACGATACATATTGAGGAATACTTACAGCAACATAGTATTATTGAGGAACATTGAGTTGTGTCTGTACGATACATATTGAGGGATACAAGAGCGTCATATCTGGATTGATACAGACTGAGTATTATAGCTGAGAGTCAGCACGAGTTGTATCTGTACAATACATATTGAGGGATACAAGAGTGTCATATCTGGATTGATACAGACTGAGTATTATAGATCAGACAAGCGAGTTAAAGGACTAAAAATAGTGTACATTACAGGACTAGAAATAGAGAACATCTTACGACTTCTAGAGGATTTATGAAAGTTTATATAAAAGATAATATAATGATCATAAATAAAAGATCAATATAGATCAACTCTTGGGCTCAATAAAACTCTTGTCATGTTATAAAATATTTTCCATATTTATCTTTAGAAAAGGATAGTCTTGAGGTATCAGGTCTTTCAGGCCTCCCCTCTTCTCTTCTGTCCAAGTCAAGCAGACAATCCATTCTTCCCTCATCTGATATATTTATCAATCCCAGGTACCACCATTTTCTTTTAGTGTTTTTTTTCATTACTTTGGTACCATCGCCATTTTGGAATTTTATATTAAATTGAGATTTTGTAACATTAGGCAATTTTGTTTTCAGATAAGTACAGTGATAACCAGAAAACTCTGGAAAAGGAAGACGACTTTTATACTCTAATTGTGACACTTAAAAAGTCTAATGACCATGAGACACAGAAATTGTGAAGTGTAAACAGACCCATTTCACTTAAGTAGTAATTTATTGAGTGTGTAGTAAAGCTATTTGCTTTGTAACAACATCAAATGCACCCAAGTATTGATATAATGTCGTCTTCCTTTTCCATTGTTTTCTGGTTATTACTGTATCAATACAAGCTGTGGCCTAATAACAATGAAATTGAAAACAACATTAAGATTGTCTTTAAACCTATGAACCAGGATTATAACACGCATTGAAAAATGTTCTCGACATTGATAAATTCTTTCGATATCTCCGAAGTTCCGGGTTTAACTTGCTTCAAGGGAATACAGATGTATGTGTGACGGGTCTTTAAGTTATTTACCACAAATAGTTAAAATATTCACAGGTTGGAGGTGAATGTAAACAATGAATCTCCCCCATCTCTTTCCTTAAATACCAGCCCGTCTGAAAATAATAAATCCATAGGTAAGTTTTCATGGTTAGAATAATTTTAAGTTTATCATAACTTATTCTTGTAAAACGTTTTCACTTTCTTAATGTAAAAGTTTTTTTTTCTAAATTGAATGGAAAACTTCTTCCTAAAAATTTGTTATGCCCTAGTTATAGAAACTTTCAGCATTTCCTATCAATCAGTTCTTGATTTTTGATTTTGATAACCATTAGGATCTTTTAGCAAATGAAAAAAATTCTGGATTGGGGGAAGGGGCACAATTCAGAATTTTCTTCATTTTTTGACACTTGTTTAGGAACTTTAACATATGCAGAGAAGAAACATAGATATTATTTTGGAGAAGAAAGAAATCTAGCACACTCTTCACAGCCTCCTTTCTCTCCTAAACATTCTTCCCTCTCCCCATCTTCCCATTCACCTCCCATCTCCCCTAAATCCCATCCACCCCCCCTTTCCCCTGTGCACATTATCAAGTCCAACCCTTCCCCCTACTCTCCACCCCCCAGGAAGGTGTTCAGGTAGGATTAACTTACAGAAGTTTGTTAGTTATTAACAAGGCTCTATATTTTCTCAAAAATTTCCCCCCCCCCTCTTTTAAAATCATACATTTTCCCCAGAAGTTAGATGTTTTTTTTTTCGCTGAACTGGGGAAGATAAAAGATTTTGATGGGAAAATAAATAAATTTTTGGGTTCAAACTTCAAAGTAAGAAACAGAATGAAAAAACTTGACTTTTGATGTCCTATTTTTCATACNATCGTATATATATATATATCTTTAACCAGAAAATTGCAGTTTTGTGCGCTGTTAACTTTCTTATAAAAGTCGCCTTCCTATTCCAGAGTTTTCTAGTTATCACTGTACATAATGTATATTTTTATTAAAATCACACAAAAATCTAAACATTAAGATCCAATTATTATCCCAAATTGAAGGATATGATTAAAAATCAAAAACAGAAAAAATGCAGAAACAATTTTTTTCTTTAAAACTCTTAATTTTTTTGTTAAACGATTTTTTAATATTAGATCTACTGGTAGACAGAACCTTCCCCATAATACTCCCCAATCCAACATGAAGAGCTTAGGTAACAATACATCATGTTCAAATTCTTCCAATAACTAGGATAACTTCTTCTAAAGCTTTAATGCTTCATTCATTCTTGAAATTAACTTAAAAAATATGATTCCTGAAAACCATGGTCTTCAACTAACCTTTAGTCCTTGGATCCTAAATGAGATGTTCCTTGATTTTAAAGTTACCAGAGAAATTCAGAATTTTGTTCGATTTAAATTTTATGAATAAAGACGACATTTCGAAAAATGCTTCGCCACAAAATTTCTTCTGGAACTTTCTTCCTCCCCTCGTACATCCTTGAAATCATCTCTGGATTGTTCAGCAGATAAGCCCATCCAACATCTCAGAACAAAACCCTTCAGCTTTAACTCTAGTATTTAACATTTAAACTTTATTTTCCATGATATTATATTTTGATCTTGATTTCACCAACAACTCTGACATTAATACCTAGAATATCCATCCTAGTTTCTCGAGAAAAAATTAACAATATAATCCTGGAACGTTACTATTATTTAAAATTACTTGAAAAAAAACTTGAAAAAAAAAACTGTGAGAGGGTGAACTGGCCTCCTAAAAAGTATAATGTTAAGGAGAACCGGCTCCAATACTTTAATCTTACAGTTGATATCTTTCCAACAAATTATTCCAATTTTTCTTTGACTTAACACGATGCAACTTCTTTTTACTTTATTATGACACGATTGTCAGAGATCTTAAACGATCTACAAGTCGCCTCTCAATTATCATATTAAGTGGGCAATCCTAAAACTATTAAACTTGAACGAGTTGAGTTTTTTAGATGCTATGTCAAAATAAAATGTTCAGATTTGGTTCTTTATTTGAAAAAGTGACGGATATATATTATATAGGACCTTAGCATGGATATAAACTATTAATTGTTTAGACATGAGTTTGGAGAGTCACTATGATGTACCACGGACCTCTGAGACAACATATGATACGCTGAGAGCCGGTCCACCTTTACCTGTTAAACGTCGGTACAAGCAGAGAGTCAAATTGTAAATATGTGACGTCATAAAAGGGAGTGTATGTTGCAGACATTATTTTATTTTCAAGTAACTTTCCAATAAAACAGGGGCCTGCCCGATCACAACAGTATCCTTAAAACCTTTATCTGATTAATGATGATAAATTCGTTCTTAAAGCTTAAAGTGTTCGTTTCTGAATATTCTGAATCAGAAATGGGTCAGATGGTTTCATAGTGAATCCACAATTGCAAAATAAACATTTTGAAATGAGAACATGATGAATATCTCTTACATTCAGCTAAAATACAGTCTACAGTACCTTGAAAATTATTCATCTTTTCCTTGGAATGTTTTTAATATTTTTCGTGTTATTGTTATTTTTGTTTATTTTTCTGTTATTGTTTTTTATATGTTTTTGTTATTGTTAGTTTATCTAAGCTTGAAGTTCTAGTCAGTGCTTGTAATTAATATAAGTAACTAATGCAATCTTTTTCAATATGAATTTATTTAAAAATAAAAAAATACAAAAAATATGCAACTGAAACAATAAATTGTGCAACATAGCAATTTTATTTTTTTCTTGATGACCTGATCTTAATAAGTGGTCAAAAATGCTAATTTAATATTTGATTTGAAAAACGTGATTTTAAGTGAACTTTAATTGAACTTGTTTATCTGAAAAATTCAAAGAAAAATTTCTGGAGCAATTTGGTCCAGGAAAAAACTCCTTGCACTTTTAAATTGAGAGGTCACGTTAATTTCACTTTAACGCTAATTGTACAGAGAAAACTCTTGAAAATAGGTTTCCCGCACTTACTACACTCCTTTCATGAGCTCTCTTGCCAAAGCATCTGTAAACGATGTTGTTCGTGTTCTCTTGTTTGAGGAAAGGCTTGTTGTTCGCTCTCGGCGAGGTGTAGTGTTCAACATCATACTCTGCAATTAGAAAACTTTAAAGGGACTCTTGACGTATTTTCAAGAAACACTTTACTTACAACATTAACCTTTTCTACTTTTTCTGTGCTTTAAAAAAGAGATACCCCTATTTTTCCGTGAAACACTTATTATTTTTCTTAATGACTTGGGGAGCAATGTAGCAAAGACAGGGAAAGAAATTGACAGACTTCGTCTTTTTTCTTCATTAATATTTAGATAAAGGTGTAACGGTTATCGTTCTGCATCAGACAATGGTTTCACTTTAAAGTATACGGTCGAAATCCCGTTCATGTTAGAAGTGATTAAAATAAAAGGCGTCCAAGATCATTTTAAATGATATTTGTTGTAGAAATGGATTTTGCGCAAGAGTGGCCAAAACATTGTTGTTTTATATGATCACTGAACATGTAAATAAACAAATAAAATAACACTCAGATTGAAGGAAGCTCAGGACTAAAAAATGTTTTAATTCAAACTGTCTGATTTGCATAAAAAAGGACTGAAATGCAATGATTTAAAATATTTACCAATTCATTCATCTTTTCATCCTCGTCCTCCCCATCATCATCTTCCTCCTCGTCTTCATCTTCTTCCTCTTCAGATTCTTCAGATTCATATGCTACTCCTTCCAATGGCTAAACAAAACACACCTTACCATGATTAATTTGGGTAATTTTTCAAACATTTCCCCATTTTTCTTCTTTAGATTTTGCGTGATTATTATATTCTATCTTGTAACATCTATCTTAACCTAACCTAGCCTCTTCATAAGCGAGGGGTGGGTGTTCTTTAGTTCTAAACTTAACAAAACGCCTAAATTTGTTTCAAGGTAGTGACCGGCAATCTATGGTAGTTGAACTGAGAATGCAGTTGTGTAAAGGATTTTTAGGATTCATTTGAGACCTATCAAGACGTTTTGACGGTGCATATTTGTTCAACGAGAATGCAAATTTAATTTTTAAAATCTTCCTTCATAGTTCATTCTGGAGAGATGATTTTGAGAGCCGGTTTTTTAAAATTATTCAATAACAATGACGAAAAATTTAAAAAATCTAAAGTAGAAATTTGTCAATAAATCCATGATAGAATGAATTTATTACCTTTTCATCATTATAATGAATTTCTTATTCTTCATGAATTTGTTCGCAGATTTCTACAAATTCTTCAAATGTCGTCTTTTCAATAAAAATCTACACTCTACAGTGTGTGAACAATGAGAGATTACAGAAACTAATAACTGATTAATATTACTTATTTTCGATGATAATAGTTAATTTTCATTTTCTCAACCTGCTTCTAAACAACTAATTAGTTCACTGAAGAATTTTTGTTACATTTATTTGTCGTCGTTATTTAATAATTAAAAAAATCTATTCTCAAAAAGTAACTACCCAAATGGATAATTTTGAAAGTCGACTTTGCGCTCAAGCTCAGTAATTATACATCATTAAAACGTTTTATATGTCTCAAATGAATCCTAAAAAAATGTCTCCACAATACTACATTCTCACTTTAACCTGTAAATAAGAAGTTAATGGAGTTAAACCTACTTAAACCCGACTCAAGGGATTGTCGACGTTATTTAATTTTACTCTGCAGTTGAAAAGTTGTGCGTTTCTAAGCTACCCTTTTATCTTAATCAGAGAAATAGTAAGAAAGATATCGTCATTTTTCTATCTTAAAAAAGGAATAAATCATATCAATGTCATTCCAATTGTCCCTATTGCAAATATAGTACACAACACACATAAAGCTTTATCAGGGAAGTCTCATTTGAAAAACGACAATTTTCAAACGGAAAAACAAGAATTTTTACTGAACAACTCGATACAGCTGTAGATTGCGCAAGTAACTTTTAAAAGAATAGTCATTTGAAATTAGGGATTCTTTAAAATATTCCAGGTAAGAATGATAAACGTTTCAAGGATTGTTTTTGATATTTGAAACGGAATGATATGATTATAGAGGCACTGGAAGGGTTACGAAGACAGTCCCTTTAAAATAGTAAAATCTGATCTTAACTAAAAAGTACTGACCTTATATTGTCTATAGTATGGGGATATATAATCCCTGGATTTGGGTAGATTGTATGGATCAAAGGGGAAATATTTATCCAACAGCAGATTTTTACTCTGAGCAGTACACCCAGAGCTGGACAAACCAACCTTAAACAAATATATATAAATATATATCAATCAATCAAACAATCAATCATTCTTTTTTCCAATATGAATAAAATTAAAAACGGGAAACAAAAGTGGTCATTAGAACAAGCTAATCTTTTTTCAAAATTAAAAAGGTCAAAAAAACTTCAGCAAATATTTAGTACAGTGATAATTGATCTTAAAAAAATCCTGAAATGTTCAGGTTAACATTTTTTTTATACTGGAGAGAAGATACATGCAAAATGATTCTTAACAAAATTTGGATTTAAAATTATTTTGACATTCACCATTGGAAACCGGAAAATCCGCGAATCTTTTTAGTTTTATAATTTTCGGAAAGGATTGTTTACGTTAATCAGCAATAATTAACAGCTAAATTAACATTTTATATAACATTATTTAAATATTTAAATATAAAAAAGGGGAATTATATATTTTTTATTGATGTCTAAAAAGTTTAAGAGTTTACCATTGGAAGAGTGATTTTATTATTCCTGTGTATGATGCTTTTACAGTAGGCTATCTGGTAGAAACTTACAACTGCAGAGAACGCCTTCAAATCAATAAATTAAATTTTACTTGCAAATATTCAACTATTTCCTGAAAAGTTTGACCTTTTTTCAAACCCAGTAAGATCAAATGAAATCAAATCAAATCAGACGTCTTACTTCCAATCTGACTTCCCGATATGAATATACTAAATCGAATTGAAATTAGGTTTTACGAATTGCAATAACTTCATTATTTTAATATTATTTACATGATATTAGTTTTTGCTCAGAAATCGACTTTAGGTCCAAATGTTTAGATGAAATTTGAATAAAGAGAAGGGTACAAAGTATTAACGATGTGGTTTTTAGATCCTTTCTAAACCTTTACAATCATGTAAATTCAAATTGCTTTAATTAATGACTAATGAACCGTAATCTTTTTTTTACAAGAATCTTTAAAAAATGTCTCGAAAGAAACAAATAATTGTATAAAACATCTTTATTAAAATTTACCTTTAGAACGGTCGGAGTGATTACCCTGAGCGGGTTGAGAGGATGAGCGATGATGCTGGTCAATTTCAAGGACTAAATAATTCATTATTTAAATATATTTAGAAGTTTGTTTACATGTATGTCCAATCGTAACTTATGAACCCCCAAAACCGATTTGCCTCACAATTTTTATTGGGGAACTCGTTAGAACCATGTAAATGTTTTTAGCTTTGTTTTAAAAGGTCTAAGTTGAGTTGGTGGACAAGTGTCGTCCAAGCTAGTTATATAAAGTAGTATGCTCTGTATGTTTGTCTGTTTGTTTGTTTTGATGTTTGTTTAACCGTCAACATAGACTGAAAATTTGTAAAATAGTAATATCTGTGTCTCTGTCCGTTTAGGTGTAGCGTCAGATCATGATTCATGAATCACTAGACCGATTTGCCTCAAATTTCAGTCATCGTAGAAACTAAGTCCTGATCTCAGGATGCAAAACTACTCACCGACAGAAAGGTGGTATCGTCTTCGACTACAAGATCCTCGTAGCGGAATGCAATGATGTAGAACACAGCCTAAACATACTTTAAATTAATATCAATTTATCAAAGAAGTCGCATATTTTGCTGTTTTAATTTTTAAAAAAACGAATAAAAAGTCTAAATATGTCAAAAAGATTAAACCCCTAATGGGAGGTGGGTTAATGCTCTAGGGAAAAAAATAAAAAGTTGGACTCCATAAGGCATTATTACTATTATTATCAATCCACCTACAATCAAAGTATCATGTCCTGCAGGTAATGTTACATTGAGCTACAGGGTCGAGCTCCAGTCATTTAACGTCTGGGGAAAATGATTTTTAACTAGGAGGGGGTAGTTGGGGGAAAAATTCAAGATGATGTATACCCCTGCAAAACATCCTGAATCGATAAATAATAAGTTGAACAACCTGACAAGCAGAAAAGAGTGGTCCATACGCTCCTAGGTTTACAACCATATAATCCAACTCATGGGCAGATGCAACCCTAGAGAAATAAGTATTATTCATGGGTACATAAACTCCTAGGTTTACAACCATATAGTACAAATCATGGGCAGACGCAATCCTAGAGAAATTAGTATTATTCAGGGGTACATAAACTCCTAGGTTTACAACCATAAAATCCAACTCATCATGGACAGACGCAACCCTAGAGAAATTAGTATTATTCAAGGGTACAAAAACCCCTAGGTTTACAACCATATAGTACAACTCATGGGCAGACGCAACCCTAGAGAAATTAGTATTATTCAAGGGTACATAATCCCCTAGGCTTACAACCATATAGTACAACTCATGGGCAGATGCAATCCTAGAAAAAGTTAGTCTTATTCAGGGGTTCAAAAACTCCCAGGTTTATAACCATAAAATCCAACTCATAAGACGCAACCCTAGAGAAATTAGTATTATTCAAGGGTACATAAACTCCTAGGTTTACAACCATATAGTACAACTCATGGGTAGATGCAATCCTTAAGAAAATAGTCGAATATTTTTCGCCGTAAGCAAAGTCCTTTTTCGCGAACACTCCCTTTAAATTTCGTCTTCATAATCTATACTCTATATTCCATAGACAGAGAAAATTACTCAATTTTTTTTAATGACATCTAGGGGAAAATGAAAATATGAAAAGTCAAGAAAAGTGATAAATCAACTCGTTAAAATGGTTCTAAATATTACCCCATTCGTTCGTGGATCCATTCGATTATCTTCGAAACCCATTTTTTAGTCAGTTTCCCAGACACATTCATAGACCGACACACAAACCTTAAACATAAACGTTGATTTCGGTTTGAAAAATGTTTTGATTAGGATCCATTAAATTGTGATGCAGACCCGAATCCTGGATCAGTCCTGTCAGAAATGGATCCGGCGAATACATTTTTCTTTCAAATTGTTAAAAAATGTTCTCCTAAAAGAGTCAAGTTTAGCTTTAAAAGGTTTTCAAAAAAAAAACAAGTTTTGCAAAAAAAACAATTAAGTTTTGCAAAATAATAAGTTTTGCAAAACAACAAGTTTAGCTAAACAAGTTTTCGAATAGTTCTTTTGTTTAGCTATTTGTTTTTGATTAGGAGTTTTAATGATATCTCATTAGGTGACCTTAAAAATGTTCGTTTTCGGAGAAAAAATTAATTTTGTCAAATGGCCTTGGATCCGGATTCTTGGATCCAATTCCCTAAAATGTTGCGGATCCATTGGATCCGGATACTAAGCACTAATTATGTGGATTGGACTGATATGTTTTGAAATATGTAATCTTCACGAGCGTTTTGTTTTTGTTCGTAAATATCTATCTTTCAGATTTCACAAATTCAAAGAACTTACCCAGAAAGATAGGAGATCGCAGATTGCCTGGAAAATACCAATTTTTGTATTTTATTCTATGAAGATATTAAACATCTTAAAAAGAACTTCTTTCGTAAAAGTGCATTTTAACACATGTATCAAATGAAAACTTTAGATTTTAAAAACGTTAGTTAAGAAAACTTTTCGCGGACAAAAATTGAAGATACTTTTCGAGAAAAAAATTAGATATATTCCTTATTATGCTGGCAGTATTAGGGCTGCAGAACACATCCCAACACGTCTTTAAGAATTCCTTCCCGAACTTTATATTTCGGCCTAAAATAGATAAAAAAAACATTCTCAATTGATTTTTATAAAATCAATTTAAACCAAAACTATTTGAATTATTATTCACATTTCAAAATAAAAAAAAATAAAAAATTAGATCGTGTTAAATCAAAATCAAAATCAAAGTCAAAGTCAAAGTCAAAGTCAAAGTCAAAGTCAAAGTCAAAGTCAAAGTCAAAGTCAAAGTCAAAGTCAAAGTCAAAGTCAAAGTCAAAGTCAAAGTCAAAGTCAAAGTCAAAGTCAAAGTCAAAGTCAAAGTCAAAGTCAAAGTCAAAGTCAAAGTCAAAGTCAAAGTCAAAGTCAAAGTCAAAGTCAAAGTCAAAGTCAAAGTCAAAGTCAAAGTCAAAGTCAAAGTCAAAGTCAAAGTCAAAGTCAANCAAGTCATATCATATCATATGATAATATTATCACATGACATGCTATAAATTGAAATCGTTCTCAATCAATAGTGAGAATCAATAAAACAATCTGAACGTTATCATTCGACCAGAATAAAGACAAATCTAATCTATCTGAATTTTAAAATATATATTTAAAAAAAGATTGTATGGATTTACTTGCTAGAAAGAAGATGGTGAACTGTGCATGGCAGATCCTATCTGATGTGAGAAGATGAGATTGGAAGATTTTTAGAAGAATATTCTCCAATTCTTTACTTTTCTCCGGACAATAATCATATTCAAAGACGCCCTCTGTACCCTCCTTATCGTCTGCCACGCCTTTCTCTCCCTCCTTCTCGTCTGCCACGCCTTCCTCTCCCTCCTTTTCGTCTTCCACGCCACTCTCTCCCTTATTTTTCTCTACACAGGTTTGTCTCTTCAGGAAGATCATCAACGCTTCCATATACGCGTCTATGTTTTCACACAATCTAGAGAATAGAAGATAATCAGGTTTCAAGGGTTTATGTTTTCTTGAAAAATCATTTCAACCATTTTAGAAAATCACTTTTCACCCTAAAAGTTAGGTATGCTTGAGCGGCAACAATTTTATTTAGCGTTTGTTTTTTGATTATACATTTCAGAAAAAGAGTGGGGGCAAATTGTTTCTGGAGTATTTGGGGATTAGGTCTTCCAGCCATCGTTCATTAAAGATTTTTCTTAGATTTTTCCACGAAACTACTGATCCAGCTTCGATATCATAAAACGTCAATAATTTAACTTATTAACCTCAAGTTTATACCCTAACCTGCTGCCGACAACACCTCACGTTCCCTGTCTCCAATACTAGAAATTCAGCTGACCAGCTGAGGTATGGCGGGAGATTTACTTCCAACACAATGAAGATCACTTACCAGCTCCTAGAGTTATACAATGTTGGTGTAAACGCTGGCCTGGATTTGAAGCTGAATCTATGGACAAGGGATGGGGACGAGTTTTTTTTCTTTTTCTCGCCTTCCTGGATCCAAGCATCAGAGAACCAGGACTAGGAGCAGAAGATGGAGAAGTTACGGACGGGCAAGAAATACCTCTAAGGATGTTAGGTCCCCCTTGCAGGCTGCAGGACCCTCCCAGGTGCGTGATAGGTCCCAACCGCAGGTAGCTGGACCCTGCCAGGTGGATGAGAGTTCCTAACCGCAGGTAGCTGGACCCCCCAAGGTCCGTGAGAAGTCCCAACGCAGGTAGCTGGACCTCCCAAGGTGCGTGATAGGTCCCAACCGCAGGTAGCTGGACCCTGCCAGGTGGATGATAAGTCCCTACTGCAGAAATCAGAGTCCCCTCAAGAGAATGAAAGAAATCCAGCCCTGACTGTGAAAACCCCCTTGATGGAGGAGAGAATCTGCATGAACCTAATTCTGAACCTGATCCTGAACCTGATCCTGAACCTGATCCTGAACCCGATCCTGAACCTGATCCTGAACCTGATCCTGAACCTGAACAAAAAAGCGACCCTAAGCCAGAGCAGACCCTGAAACCCCTAATTAAAACCATTCCACCTGAGCTTGAACCCGCGCCTGGCCTGAATCCTCCATCCAATATTGTGAATCCTATGTTTGGATTTTGTCAGGATACTACATGTTTAATATGTCCCGATAAAACCACGGAAAAAATCGGAAACTATGATGCCTGTTTTCCTAGTACTGATAAATCAATACCAGGATGTGAACGTGTACACTGGCATTCTAAGAATACACTCTGTTTTACAGCGAGTGAATTCAAAGAAACTAATGTGGTAAAATTTCTCTGAGATAATTGTAAAACTTTATGAAATCTTTAATTTTTAATCACTGAATAAATATTTAGATCTAAAAAAATAAACCTCAATTGCTCCAGAATTAAGTGTTGACTTTTAAATACCAGACATTAATACCTAAATACCAGACATTAATACCTAAATACCAGACATTAATACCTAAAATGGTTGTTTTAAAATTATCTTATGGCCTTACATTGCATGAAGAAAGGTTTGGTCAGGATAGAAGAAGGAATATTTCACACAACCTTGTATAGTTGAAGTAGGAAGAGTGAGTCTGTTTTGAAATTATCAATCACCCAGGGGTTTGTAGTTCTAATTAAATAATTCACCCTCTTTTCAAAAAATTAATTTTTTTTTGCCAATTACTACATTATTAAAATTGAAACAAATCTATGTCTGCATCATTTTTTTTACTTATTTCTTACCGTTTATCCATCTCCATTTTCTCCTTGTCCTCCTCATTGAGATCTTCCTTCTTGTCCTCTGAGTCACTGTCCTCCTCGTCCTCCTCCTCCTTCATATTTTTCTTCTGATACTTCTTCACATATCCATTTATCTGCTCTCTAAACCAAATATAATCAATTAAGATTCTTCAAATGAAATGAAATGAAATGAAATCAAATTATATGAAATCAAATCAAATCAAATCAAATCAGGCTTTAAGGGATGTCCTTCACCCACACACCAAAATTGAAGTGACTATACTAAATCAAAAATCCGGGATTTGAGAAGATATATGAAAAAATCGCTTATTCAAATCTATTTAATCGAAATGGTCTAAAATTATATTGGACCAACTCACCTTTTAGCAAAATACATGGAGTATTGAAAAGATAATTTATTTTTTAATTTCTTCAAACATGTTGAAATAAATAGAAACATGAACCTCGGAGAGATATAAGTGTGTAACGCCCATTTGTTTGCATTTTAGTGCTAGATTATTTTAGACCCAAAAAAGCAATTTTTTTTACTTAATGTTGGTTATTTCTATTCAAATCCTACGGTTTTACGCTTCTGAATTCAGTGTTTCAAGACTGCTTGTTTAAATCATTAATAAATTTTAACAGCATAATGAGTAAAAAATTGAGGAAAATGCTATAAAATAAGAAAACTAAAGAACTGGTGCCAGATATCTCGCATTTTTCTAAAAAGGCGTTAAAAAGTTTAACCTTTAATTAAATCTATGCAATCAAAAAGCTACATGCAATAAACTTTTATGGCCTGTTCAGAATTCTTTACCTTGATATTCCAGCATCTAGTTGTATTCCTTTCTCTAGAACTATCTCCAGTAGATCTTGCCTGGTATCAGAGATATATCGATACATCTCAAGCACACCACGTAGATAAGATATCTGATACAAAATTCTGTTTTTTCAAGGAGAAAGGGTGAAAAGAGTTTTTTTTTTTGACTTTTTGGCCTAGATAATAATAGTAATTTTATTTAAATTAAAGTTTGATTTTTTTTTATTGTTCCCCATTGCTTTGAATAATTTTAGTCCAAAAGGCTTAAAAAGGCCTTAAAAAAAATAATAATCTTTTTTAAAAGTTTTCAATGGGCAAGAAGCGCTATTAATATCTCACCAGTTTTTCCGCTGAATGTTTAAAGTATGGGAAATGTTCAACAACTTGTTTCATCATTTCACTTTTCTCACGTCCAAACTTTTTCAAATATTTCTAAAAAGAAAGTTTTTCAACACAAATAAAATTCTATCAATTTCTTGAAACCAGTGCTTAGGATCCGGATCCGTTGGATCCGCAAGATTTTGGCTTCCTGGATCCGGATCCGGATCCACAAAAATATGCGGATCCAGGGATCCGGATCCAAGTGGTAAAATATCAATCAAAAACTGCAAAAAAACCTTTTTTACTCCTAAACCCAAAATCTGAACAAATGAAAAAAAAAGATTATAAAATTTTCTACATATCTGAATGGTTCATCAAGTTTTAGGATAAAAATACAGGGGTGTATATAATTCCATATTTTTGATTTTTTCCCCCCCCCTCTAAATTTTTTTTTGAATTCCTTCCCCAAACTCGACAACTCAAAATACATAGATTTATTAAAGTATCATCTAAAAAAATTTACTTATTCTTACTTAATTAAACAGTAAAAAAGTATACATGGACATGAGACTGATTTTCTTGGTTCTTCCGAAGCTGTCCAAGAGATAGATCTGCAAAATTCAGTTTGGAGTACTGTCTGGAAAGTCTGGCGTTGTCCATCTTTCTTACAAAGGTCATCTCCTTCATAAACTCATCAGTATATGATTTGATATTAACATGTTCAAACAGGTCAAAGAATCTAGACTCTGCTGACAAACTCTGCCTATAATTCTTTTGGAACAGTTGATATAACACTTCCAAGGACTGCAGATCAGAATTTTGTTTAAATGTCAGGAATTGAATGAATGTCTGCAGAAGGCTATCCTGAACTTGTCTCCTATAAGATTTTCAACCAGCTCCTCTAGATGTTCCTGGCACTTGTTTCTAGCATGTCTTTACTGATGTTTTCAGCCCACTCTGTTCTATGAAAAGCCTCTACAGAAGCCTTTACAAGTGACATAGCTTTAAATCATTTTTCCAAGGATGTAAAGATGTCACATAACTCACTAAGTTACTTTTCAACTTTCTCAATAGATATACCCTTCCCCTTCCCTTCCCCTTCCCCTCTTTTGTGACCTTTGATTTCTTCCCCCCCCCCCCTGGGGAAATGGAATTATACACACCCCTGTAAAAATATGCGAAAAAAATAAAACAAAAAATTTGAAAATTATTTTTTGTTAAAAAGATTCAGTAAATCTTATAGAAATGACCTAGATCCGGATCTGGATTTTGATCCGGATCCATTTTTTTCCAGTGCGGATCCAGGATCCGGATACGGTTCCGCATCAAAATTAAATGGATCCTAAGAACAAAACACTTCATCCTTCACCTCCCCCAGGATAAGTTGTTTAAAGTTCACAAGGTTTATTTTATCGGAAAACTAGCTTTGCTTGTGTAAAAAAGGTCGACCAACTCAACTTAAATCTTAAATGTCGACTTCTTATTTATATTCGTAAATAATCTTTTTGCAGGAAAATACACACTTTGATTTTAGAAGTGTTTTTTTTTCTTTTAAAAACTGGATCCTTACCGGAATAATATTTTAAATTTCGTATTAAATTGTTCTTACTTTGAGAAACGAATGAACGTTTTTATTAATCAGCGGTGAACTGGGAATAGTTGAGTCGTCTAAAGTTTGCGGCATGAACAGGCGCAGAACAGTCCTGATAGTTAGACAGTTAATTAGATCGATAGAGAAATAGATCAATAGATAAACAGATAAAAAGTAGACACAATATAGATAGAATATAGATTCAGGGTTACTCACAAAGGACGAGAGTGTAAAGACGATATAAACTCGTTAAATATGACGATCCCAAGGTTAAATCAAGTTTCCTGAATTGTTTAATGGCTTATTTTAATATTTTGAAAGAGTTAAACAAGATTAAAGCTACAGAGAACCATGAACATAACGAAACCGTCGGAATAAAATTCCTTACAGTCGTCTCATCCTTTGTGGGTAACCCTGTCTAGGTGAAAAAAAAAGAAAATTGTCTCTGATGTGACTCAAGTGTAAAGATATATAATTCATACATCAGGTTAACAAGCAGTAATACAGGTAATTAATTAAATAGTTGGATACTGGATGTGAACAGATAGACACTACAGGACAGACATATAGATAGCTGAATAGATTTCAAGCCATAGACATTAAGACATTAGGACATTGTCCATGAGCTACGAGTCTACATAGCCGGTTCACTTTTCAAACCGGCTCTTCGACCCTGATCCGGAGATAAGTTTTTACTAGTATTAAGTCCAGATCAACCTGAACCCGGCTTTAAGACTCCCGGCTCGAGTCTAACCTGAGAATAGTTTTGGCAAAGAACGGATGAAAGCTGAGAAGAGAAAACAAAAACTTCTGGAAACTGTGAGCGACATCCTTAAAAATTAATCAATCAATGTATATCATGCAATCAATCAATCAATCAATCAATCAATCAATCAATCAATCAACCAATCAATGTATCAATCAATCAACTAATCATTCAATCATTCAAACAATCAATTTCATTAATTAAAAGTTCATTTAAAAAGGTTGAAATCATAAAAATCAGTCCATTAGACTCAATTTAAATACTCCAGTTTTGCTTAGAACACAGACCCTTCGCAAAGGCACAAAAAATGGCTTTAAATTAGTCTTCCTATTCCACAACTTTATAGATACCACTGTATACCTCAGACTGGTCTGCCCATCGCATTTTGATTATCTGAGCTATCAAGGAGGAATGATTTTTGTCCATATATCTCAAGTATGGAGTTATTTCCTGAAATTAAAACATGTTTTATGCGATTTGGAAACTTTTTTAGCTATTTTTTTAAAGATACTTTTTAATGAATGTTTTCATTTGTTAGCTTGTCAATAAACATAAATTACTAAAGCTTTCTTGAATTTCTTCGATGACATCCAAGCCATAAAGCAAACCAACTATTGAAATGTTTGTTTGGTGCAAATTTCCGATTAAAAAATAGAACTATTTGTAATTTTTAAATCACTCATCGCAAATCTTATAAGAAGACTCTTAAAAGTGAGAATTATAAAACTTCTGAAACCCTATTTACACGAAACACACAAGGTGTAAAAGGGATTTTTTTCTTCAGATTTGCCCGAAGTGCGGCGTTTTATTATAGAACAAGGTAACAAGACTCAAGACTTAAATAAGGCTGAAGTGTTGAGTCAAGAATTAAAACCCCGGCTCTAAGCTTTTAAAATTGGTGCTCAGGAAAACTTGATGGGGAATTAGTTAACATTAAAACGATCAAGAACATAGTTAAAAACGTTCTCGATTCAAATTCATGAATTACTTAGATAAGAAACTGTTAGCTTTTTAAATCAAATTAAATATTAACAAATTATCTGATTTGAAATTATAACCTACCTCAAGACACATTATTAAACTTTTCCCGGTGTTTCTTACTAAAATACAAATTTTCAATTTAATCTCAATTAGAGAAGAAAACGACCCAAACTATTAAGTTTCCTAAAATAGAGACGTGGATTGTGGATGATCGCTTATGAGACCCTTAGATAAAATATTGTTGGTGACTTGTCAACCTAAACGATGAACCTTATTGGACCTCTATCAATTGGTAGTTCTTTATTTCTGTTCTATATTTCTGAAAATAGCTGACACTGTGCTTAACTCACCAGTTAGCCCAAATTGATTCTAGTACAATAGATGGCAACGTAGAATTTGTACACTCTCAGTACAGCTGTATTCTGCCGTCACAAGTGTCAACTCAGTTTTAGCGTCAATCCGACAAAACTATTAATAATAGTGATAATTTTAAAATAAACTGCCTATCTTACAGTAAAACAGTGCAATGCCAACTAATGTGAGAAAGTTTTGTTTTCCTTATTATATTTGACACTTGTGACGTCGTGTATAATTGGTCCATTTCTCTGTTGCCACCTGTTGTACTTAATTTTCTATTTGAGTTAGCCCATTATCATCAACAGTAAGAAACCGGTCTTGAAGCTCAAAGAAGAAAAATTTTTCTTTTCAGAAAAGTCAGAAAAAATAAAATAGTTTTAATCGCTATTTAAAAATAATTAAGTATGGTTTATCCAGTCCCAATATTTCCTTAAAATATTGAAATAAACTTTTTATTATTTGTATGAAAAATATTGAAAATTGTATTTTCCTGTGTACGCCAGGAGGTCATTTAGTTCCGCCTGAGTATCAGTCTTAGATTTAATCTTCTCCAGAATACCAGTTATTTTCATACTATCGTGGGGACCGAAACTTAAACATTCACAGAAAATAAATCAAGAATTAATCAATATATTTTTTTATTTTATGGATTAAGTTAACTCCTGTGATATTTCTGAAGGTCTGTCCAATCAGAAACCTTAACAGATATGTTTCGACCAATAAACGGTCGCGAAAATACGAGTCAGCAGTTTTACACAGATTCAAATTTTAATTTAAATATCAAGTACAGGCGTTGTATATTTTCACCGTCAGTTCCGACCTCAGAAGAGTAAAACAATAAATATAATAATGGAAGGACAAGATTTCGAAGTTGTTCGGACAAGAAAATGATGAGAAAGTGGCTTGGAAGGTAAAGTGTTGTGGCTGGCCTTCTTTCCCTAGCTAAATAAGAGTTAGATGTTTCTACCTGACATTTCTAGTTGAGGATCCAGGGGTCTCAAGTGAGGAATTATCACCTTTAAGAATCCCTAAAACGGATTTATAATAAAAGTCGCGGTTATATNGTTCATACCATAATGCAATATAATTAATAGATCTGAAACCAAACATGGAATCCCCACACCGTTTACGGTCTGCATTTATCTGGACTGATAACACACTTAAAAAGAGTAATATTAATGTAAAAAATCCCCTGAATTAATCAATGTTTTGTTAAAACTTCTGCATTCAGAATTTGTGGAAGATTCATGAGTAACAATTACCTTTGATTAGCGAGTTTCTAGGCATACTCGAGGCACCCAGACTTAATTTTCGATTCATTGGAGTCGGTTTGGATTTAGGAACAGGAGTACTTTTAGAGCCGGGAGTGATTCTGATTCCAGGAGTGTTTTTGGCAGATGTAGCACCTTTAAAGGCAGGAGTAACTTTTAAGCCGTTTGTAGCTGGAGTACTTTTAGAGAACGGAGTCCCTTTCAAACCTTTGGAAGCTGGGGTGCTCGTTGGGATAGGAGTCCCTTTCACACCTTTGGAGGCTGAAGTACTTTTAGAGATAGGAATCCCCTTGCCTTTGGAAGTTTGATTACCTTTAAAGACCGGAGAATTAGGATCAATATTCAACATTGGAGTACTCTTGGTAATAGGTGTCTTTTTGGGAGCTAAAGTTTCTTTACCAGCAGGGGTGCTTTGGGGAGTTGGTGTTGGAGTACTTTTATTGTTGGAAGTGGACTTTTTTACTGCAGACCCATTACTAGATTTAGATGTGACAACAGTTGGAGAAGATATTGTGGAGTTCAAGGATGAATTGCTTTTAGAACCGTTTGGAGTCATACTTAAACCTAAAATAATAACAATTTTTTATTCAATAATAACACATTTCCCTACATAACCAATTTTTAAGGCCTCTGGGTGCCAAGTTTCGTTTCTGTTAAAAAAAAAAATATTTAATCTTTTACAAGTCAAAAAGAATTTTTTTTAGGAAAATGTTAGTTTTACTTTAGTATGAGGTTACACACAAAGGATGAGACATTAAAGACGACTGAACGGAATTTATACTGTTCTAATTATAGATCGCCTTAACAGTCTCATTAGAGACGACTGAACGGAATTTATACTGTTCTAATTATAGATCGCCTTAACAGTCTCATTAGAGACGACTGAACGGAATTTATACTGTTCTAATTATAGATCGCCTTAACAGTCTCATTAGAGACGACTGAACGGAATTTATACTGTTCTAATTATAGATCGCCTTAACAGTCTCATNATGGAGGGGGGGATTGAGTGATGAAAGGGGGGGGGGAACGAAGTGTAAATTTCTTAAAATACCCCTGAATTGTACCTGAATCGTTAGAGACGGACACAGATTTTGTTTTCGGGGAACTCCGGGTGTGTTCTCCGTTACCGGCCGCCGAAACCTCTCTGACCCGTTTGACCGGCGGGCCGGCACCTGGGGATTCGTGTTTTCGCTTCATATCAATGAAATCAATCTATACAGGCGGAGTAAAAAAAATAAGATAAAACTGTGAAGACGGTATTAATTTTCCTCTTGGGTCAAACCTTGACAGGTTTTTTGAATATCAAACAATGTTCTAATTAAACTACAGGATAATTCACTTTAACAACTACAGTGTGAATAGTTCACTAGAGTTTATTGAGGATTAAGGTTGAGGACTCTCTGGTTTCTCTTGGTTAGGGGGCTGTTTCTCTTCACTTGTACCCAGAACTCTTTTGTCTATCTCACTGAAAAATAATTTTTTTAAATATGAAATTCAATGATGAATCAAATATCATATCTATGCTTTCAAAAATTCAAATTTCTGTGTAAATAGTGTTTTAAATATTTAGATTTTCTGGGAGGGGGGGAGGAAATTTAAAGTCTCGTTTTAACAAGATTCTTCCAAAGAATTAAAATTCAGACAAGTTGTAGGTAGGGTAAAATTTGTAAAAAAAAACGTGTATTTGTTGCTAATTATGTATAAAAAAGGCATGAATTTTCATTATCGGTATTTTTAATATCGAACTGGCAAAGAAACTGAGTTTTTGCAAAAACTAAGATTTTTTAAATTCCTATATCTCTGCAATCCGACGTGTTAAACCCTTAATATTAAAAACAATAATAATGTCAGATCAAATAATCTTAGTATGCCATATGAAAGTTTGCAAAGAATATTTTATTTTGAGACAAAAACTTAATTCCAAATCGTAAAAATTATGTATTTTTCAAACGAACTTGGAAAGTGAAGTCACTGCTGATCTGAAAACCTTAGAATTGGATACCCTTCAGCTCTGGTGAGATAACCTGACCCAACTCTACTCTAGGAGGATACGCCCCACCCCTCCCCCCACGTTAAAAATACGCCCCAGTAAGGTCCTACCTTAGGTTTATATTCTGTTTCTTGATGGCCTCTCTTACACAATCTCTGTAGAGGACAAATAGAGGTTTACACATATCATCATTAGTGTCCCCCTTAACATATTTATAAATAGAGGTTTACACATATCATCATTAGTGTCCCCCTCAACATATTTATAAATAGAGGTTTACACATATCATCATTCGTGTCCCCCTTAACATATTTATAAATAGAGGTTTACACACATCATCATTAATGTCCCCCTTAACATATTTATAAATAGAGATTTACACACATCATCATTCGTGTCCCCCTTAACATATTTATAAATAGTGATTTACACATATCATCATTAGTGTCCCCCTTAATAATAACATATTTAAGTTATTCCTGCTTTTAAAAAGAATTTCAAAAAAGTTTGTTTTTCTTTTAAAAAAGTTATGGTTTATTTTTTGTTATCCATTTTTGCCCTGTTCAATCAAAAAATGCATTTAGCGGTAAAAAAGCGTTGAAAAATAATTAACATTTTTTTGGAATTTTTAGGATTGTGGATTTGTGAATTTTTTTTTCAGGGGCTTAATACTGTAAAAGAGAAGAAATCCTTTAAGTAAATATTATTATTTTGACACGAAAAGAAAAATGTTAACCTACGCGTGCATTTATTTTTTAGATGGTCGGTAGGAAAAATGAAAAATTGGAAACCAAATGTAAAGTTTAATTCACATTTTTTAATTCTTTTTACAAAAACAAATATTTTTACCATCAACATTTTTTTCAGTTCAGTGAATTAAACCATAATACCGGGGAAAAGAAAATGTTTGGGGGGGGGGGGGTAGGATTCAAGAAAATATATAACCCTGCTATAAACCCTCCCCCTGACCTTTAAGAATTTCTCAGAGAACCATAGATTAAAGCAAGAATCGTACTTTTGCTTTAGAGTGTTGCACTCGGGATCCAAGCTGTTCATTCTGAAATATTAAAGGGAATGTAGACATAATTTCAAGTGACCCACCATATAAAGAATGTCTGATACACAACAGTACCATTTAAACCTTCATCTGAGCAAAATTGATTGATGATGAATTCCATTAACAATTGTGGTTTATTTTAAGCAGCAGAGATAAAGAATGAAATCAAAATAAAACAGTTTCTCGGAGAAAAATGACGACATTCTCCTAAATTTTACAGATCTTAAGAATACCATTGCGAATAGGACATAGCACCCCCTGTAAATGAAGGGTCCCCTAAAAATAAAACTTGAAGTAATTAGTTTTATTCTTTTTAAACCTGAATGTACACCCGTAGTTTTTGTTTTATCAGCGATATATGTAAAGATCAAACGGGAGTCAGATCAATATGTTAAAACCGCCTTCTATGTTTAATAAAATTGATTGTAAGGAAACACATGGTCGTCCACTTTATTCTCATCATGCATATACTGATTCTTTCTAGAGAGTTTTTTCTTTGAACTTAGGTCAACATTATTTGAGTCGCAAAAAATTAAGTTATCGGATTCATTTAATATTCAGCCCTCATTAACAAATCAAAATATGGAAGGAACCCAATTAGACCACTTTCTCGTTTCTTTTACAAAAATTGTTTAAGAAACTAGAGTGAATTTTCAACCATACTTTTAAACTGAGTGGAATGCTGAATGGGCGTTATTTTAAATGACCCACAAATTGAATAATTGCATTCCCTACTGACAGGGATATATTTTCCACCTTTATCTAAATAACAAGAAGAAAGCTGGTCTCGTTTTTACTTTATCAAGTTTTTATTCTCACAAGTGCAAGCACTGCAGTATTTAACAGAAAACCCACAATTGGAAATAGTTCTATAATATCCCTTAATAATGGCCTTCGGAGATATTTGGACACAGACATCAACATTAAATGTCAAATTTTCAGCTAGAGAACCGCTCGACTTCGTCAGGAAAAGGTTAATTAGGTACCGTCGTGAATCTACAATTCGCTGTTAATATTAGTCACTTCAAATCTAGCCATGTCTACGGTCCCATTAATGCATCAATATATCAATCCTAAGTACTTTTATCCTAAAGTATACCTGACTTACTTCTATTGTAGGAACACTAAGACAGGAAGGTTCAGAACATATTTTCTGAAATCTGATCAAAACTTTAAGAAATAATACTTTTAACTGAAACTGAGCATCAGATATAAATATGTAAACATTTTATTAAATAGCTTTTGATGACGAATACATTAAACTGGAACAGTATTATTAATCACACTTTAGTGCCAGGACACGGTAACCGTTGTATTTGCTTGGTTATTCTTTTATCACTGAAGATTTGTATCAGACGGAACAGATATTAAAAACAAGATCGGTTTATCAGGACAGTAGGATATGAAGATCTAGTCCTGTATAGGACCAAGAAATCCATATTTAGTCCTGTATAGGACCAAGAAATCCATATTTAGTCCTGTATAGGACCAAGATATCCAGATCAAGTCTTGTGTAGACCCAAGATACTCTTGTCCTGTAGAAAGTTAAGGACACTTTAAGCCAATCCCTTCTCCCTCATGCACTTGACAAGAGCAGTTCCCATTTGTGCAGGGCTAGCGGTAACAATAGCTCCAGCCTAAATAAATACATCAGTCAGAGGGAATATTCTAACAAACAGTATAAAGTATCATTATAATAACAATTAAAATTTAAGTTAGGAGTATTTGTTAAAAAAACGATTAAATGCAATTTGTCAAACAGATAAAAAATGTATTACCGATAAAGACAATAATATGGGAGAAGGGGGGGGGGGGCATGATTTTTGATGGAGAAAAAAGGCAGTTTTTTATTCTTTTCAATACTTTTTACCCAAAAATTCACTTATTTTCTCCAATTCAGTGAAAAAATATTTTTTGGGAAAATTTAATCCCCTCTATTAATAAGAGGCAATATATTAACTTCTTCTTCAAACTTTTATTGAAAAAACACAACGTAAATATATTTATAAAAAAATCACAGGGTTAACAGGGCAATATATTAACGATTGAGTAGAGACAAGTCGTTAGCGAACAATCAGCGGCAATCTGCTAGGGAGCGCTTTAGAGGCAGTATGTACACGAATTGGTTTAGGCAATTATTAAGTAGTCGGTCAGTTTAAGGCAATATGTAAACGAACCGTTAGGAGGCAATATGTTAAGGAACAGTTAAGGGACAGTATGTGCGTTAACGAAGAGTTCCGAGGCAATATGTAAGCAAAGTTTAGAGGCAATATACAAAGTTTAGAGGCAATATGTATGTTTAAGATAGGTTAGCATGTATCATGCCAAGAGGTAATATGTAAGCGACCAATTTAAGGCAATGTGTAATCAAACAATAGTGAAAAATCAGCTTACCGACTCTAGAGCTGCAATCTTGGTTCCTGCAGTTCCCTTCCCTCCTGAGATGATAGCTCCAGCATGACCCATCCTACGGCCGGGGGGAGCAGTCACTCCAGCAATGAAGGATACAACGGGCTTAGCGTTAGGCCCCTAAATACAAAATATTTGAAAAGTTTATCAAAAATTACTAAATTTCATGCGAGTTTGGATCAAATGTATAACGGAAAGAAGCCAAACTCGCGGAATCTGGACCATTCTAGGTAAGTAGTTTCACTATCCGTAGCAACTCAATTTAGCTTAAAGGGTCCGTGAGCGTAATTGCATGTGATCATCCGTGCAAAGATGGAAATGACCGGTTCACAACGCTACCCTTAATGGCTTTGTCTCATCAAGTATGGTAAAGTTATTTGTTAACAATTTTGAACACTGACCATTTTCAATTTTTTTTACAAAAGTGACTTGCAAATTTCAACTGGAGGGAAACATATTAGAAAAATCAAAATTAACCGTTGTTAAACCCAGAAAAACAACAATATCTTCAACATTATTGATCAAATAAAGGTTACAAGGGTGCCGTTGTGAATCGAAATAAGATACTTTAGCCCCCAGAAAAAAAATGAAATTCTGCTTAGAATTTCCTACAAAATGAAAAAGTAAAAAACGATGCTTACCGAGTTGACCTGCTTCAGGTATTCGGCGGCCTTCTCCTCGGCTTCTCCACCGATCTCTCCAATCATGATGATTCCCTGAAAACGAAAAAATAATATTTTCTGATATGATCATCGGTCTGTATTTTTAACCCTCCCCACGAAATAATTTTGAAGATTAAAAAAACCCTGAAAATTTGGATATAACTAGCAAGTTGCCTCTCCCACCCCCTCCGCTCTTTGATTGACAATTACAAAAATTTCGTTAATTTTTTTTAATTGGTTTAATAGTGATTTCTTGAAATGGAAGTGTGGATTGATTCATTGAGAGGTAAGCACCGAAGACGAGAAGTGATTTCTTGAGGAGGAGCGAAGGAGTGATTTTTTACGTTAGTAGCTAAAAGGGGAGTGATTTCTTGAAAGGAAAGCGCCTATAGTCGGGAGTAATTCCTTGTAATAAAAGAGAAAACTATTACTTGAAAGGGAAACGCCAAAAGGGAGACAGTAGTTTCTGGAGAGGGACAGGTCGACAGATGAGTTATTTTGTAATATAGATGGCTAAATAAGGAATCATAAGGAAGTGAAATCTGCAAGAGACCCCATTGTGGGTGTCGAAATAATTGCCGAATACCATCTTAAACGTTAGTTGTTACCTTAGTTTCTGGATCATTAACGAAGATCTCAAGGCAATCAATGAAGTTTGTTCCGTTGAAGGGATCTCCACCAATACCTATACACAGGGTCTGCCCCAAGCCAACCTAAACCAGAAACAATAATAAATAAGAATTATGACAATAACATTTGATCATTTTTTTATGATCCCGGCGTGTCACTTTTTGGTAACCTTCTCATGCAGCCTTAGTTCTAACCTAACAATGAAACGTTCCAATGCAAAAGATTTTAGTCTCCTGAGTCATTCCTCGACCACTGGGCCGAATACAAAAAATCCAAGAAAATCAAGAAATCAAGAAAAATATAAATATTTTCATACAAGATTTTACTGTACCAGTGATGTCTGGTGTACTACCTAATGTACTTCACCTGTGATGTCTGGTGTACTATCTTAGCTGTCTGGTGATGTCTGGTGTACTACCTAATGAATTGTACCTTTGATGTCTGGTGTACTATCTAGTGTACTGTACCAATGATGTCTGGTGTATTACCTAATGTACTGTACCTGTGATGTCTGGTGTACTATCTAGTGTACTGTACCAATGATGTATGTTGTACTACCTAATGTACTGTATTTGTGATGTCTGGTGTACTATCTAGTGTACTGTGCCAATGATGTTTGGTGTACTACCTAATGTACTGTACCTGTGATGTCTATTGTCTGATGTACTCCCTAATGTACTGTACCTGTGAAGTCTATTTTCTGGTGTACTGCCTAATTTACTGTACCTGTGATGTCTATTGTCTGGTGTACTACCTAATGAACTGTACCTGTGATGTTTATTGTCTGGTGTATTACCTAATGAACTGTACCTGTGATGTCTATTGTCTGGTGTACTACCTAATGTACTGTACCTGTGATGTCTATTGTCTGGTGTATTACCTAATGTACTGTACCTGTGATGTCTATTGTCTGGTGTACTACCTAATGTACTATACCTGTGATGTCTGGTGTACTGCCTCGTATGTGAGTGTACCAGATCTGCTGACGATACCAATACATCCTTGCTGGTGAATATGTCCAGGCATAATTCCAATCTTGCATTTACCAGGAGCAATAATTCCCGGGCAGTTGGGACCTAAAGCATTCATTCATCAGTATTGACAACAAAAATTTAAGGAATTTATTCATCAATATGTTTTGAGCTCGACTCTTATGTTAAAAATACACATATTATGATACTTATCTACATAAATACAATAGTAAATGGACTCCAATATAAAAATGGTATTTTACCGATAAGCCTGGACTTGCTCTGTCTGACCAAGGCGTGCTTCACCTAGAAACAAAAATAATAAAGTTTTGTCATTTCTTTAAAAGAGAGAAACTTCTTTTCGTAAATTGCAACAAAACAATTGTAAAAAAGGAAAAGCTTCAAAAATCAATTCTTAAGAATCTTCTGTATTTTTGAAAAAAAAAATAGTTTTTGTAAATACAATTATTTGTAAAGAAATGTTACCTTAACCATATCCTGCTGGGGAATACCTTCTGTAATACAGACAATCAATGGAACCTCAGCTTCCAGAGCTTCCATGATAGCGGCAGCAGCTCCTGGGGTATCATTATTATCATTATAATTATAATTATCATTATTATAATTATCATTATTATCATTATTATCATTATTATCATTATCATCATTATCATCATTATCATCATTATCATCATTATCATCATTATCATCATTATCATCATTATCATCATTATCTCATCATTATCATCATTATCATCATTATCATCATTATCATCATTATCATCATTATCATCATTATCATCATTATCATTATCATTATTATCATTATTATCACTATTATCATTATTGTAATTATAATTCTTTTCATTATTCAGCTTCTGGAGCTTCCATGATAGCGGCAGCTGCTCCTAGCATTATTATCATTATCATAATTCAGCTTTTAGAGCTTTCATAATAGCAGCCGCTCTTCACAACAACTGATATCATTAGTATTGTTATTTTAATTTAACTACAAACACCAAGATAATACAAGTTACCGTGTCGTCTGGACCCCGACCCACCTAACCAGAGTAGGTTGTTTTAATTGGCCGGCCCATAATTATTATTACATAATTAATTATCATAATGATGATAATGCATTTAGACCCTAACTATTCAATATTCATACATATAACAATGGTATACATTTTTGACATAAAAACAAGAGTTGTAATTTTTTTAAGATTATGAGATTCACATCTGGCACGCGTTCCTCTAAATTCGATTTTTTTAAGATTATGAGATTCACATCTGGCACGCGTTCCTCTAAATTAAATCTTTTTTTAAGCCTTTTCCTCTTAAAACTTTATCATTGAGAGAAAATTATTTTTGAAGGGAGAGGAGGTGGGACTGGGTGATTGATGAATATAATTAACCTGGAGGAGGAACATAAATAACAGTGGCATCTGGTTTAACTGCATCACTGGCCTCCTGTACTGAGTTGAAGACGGGTAGACCAAGATGTTCTTTACCTCCTTTACCAGGGGATACTCCTCCAACCATATTGGTTCCGTACTCAATAGCCTTAACACAGGGGGGTACAAATTGAATGAGAACTATTCTTTCCATCTTATTTAACTTTGCGCCCATCGTTTATTTCCATTTTTAAAGGTTGCTCTATCTGCGAACATTTTCTTTCGTACATTATAAAAAATAAACAAAACAAAAACAAAAATTCAGCGATTTTCACCCTGAATTTACGAAATTTTTAAAGCTCAACCCAACCAAACCCTGGACGCCCTACGACAATAAACGATCTTGAAATGACTAATTGACAAGGGTTGCAGGGTAATGTGGGTTGGATGCGGTGTTTGAAACATTCCTCATTCATGCGTTATTACTAATAACGTAACTAGAATGAATTTAAAAATGAACATAAAATAAAAACCTGTCTTGAGTGGAATGTTCCCTGCTTTCCAGTGAATCCCTGGCAGATCACCTAAAATATAATAATTAAATTGAATGACAGGAAAAATGAATTTTTCATTAATTGTTTGATTATAATGTGTTTGTGTGGTACAGCATAATATAAAAATATGATTGATTGAAAAAATTCGCATGTGCAGAAAAATAGAAAAGTATTATAAAAAACTATTTGAAGTTGCCCTTGGAGCTTCAAAAATGTCGCAACTTATTTTTTTTATTATTATTCTAAGAAAAATATTTTTATTGGTTTCTCCTGCTATTTTGCTTTGCATCAAAGTGTGCTCGAAAACAATGGTAAGCGTCTAGCGGCAAAGTTTTGTTTTATGGTAGGATTAAATTAGGGTTCAATTGAGTTAAAGGGTATTGCTAATAGAATTGAGTCGAGTTTACTACAATTAAAGTTAATTAACAGCGCAATTATTCAGATATTAACAGGGGTGTATATTTTTAATGAATTATGAAAACAAGACATCAAAAGGCACGTTATTAATCTTTTTGATACACTTTACCCTAAAAACTATTTGTTTTTCCCTGAAAAATAATTAATTTTCCCAAATTCAGCGAGAGAAAAATTTCTTTTCTATAATATGGGGGGGGGAATGATTTTTTAGGAAAATGTATACCCCTCCATTAATATCTAACGTTTACTGGTTTTCAAGATTCGACCATTTTTCTCAGTGCGAAACTTCATGCAAAGCTCTGAAAAGTGAACATTCTTCATTCCTACTATATACTTCAGATTTATTTTATCTTGGTGACCAACGATACAACATTAAAGCAATGGATGTTTTGGGTTCTTTACGAATCTTTCTATTCTATTTTGCTGAACTTTTGAATACAATTTGGGATATGAAAAAGAATCCCGGAACCCGAAGATGAGCGTTCTGAGACCTCCGAGGCCGGAGATATGGCTCCAGAAAGATTCCGATATTTCTAGATTTCGAGGACGGCCTCTCTATTTCAAATGGCTATAACTTTTATTGTTTTTTGAAGATGGCTCCAAAATTTATTTAGTTTTGAATAGGTAATCACAAGCCCATTATTCATTAAAATGTTATTCACAGGTCATAATTGCATTTCTTTATTTTCAGCCTCCGTTTGAAGATGTGAACCAATTCCGATTGTATTGATTTTTCTTATATATTTTTTTTACTGCCAAAAGGAAGGAATTGAAATTTTTTTTAAATGTGTATTTGTTCCTACTGAGGAGGAGACCTGATAATGTAATGTTAATTTAGATTTCAGAATATAACTAATAGTAGCTTTCTAGCAGTGCTCAGGATCCATTTAATTTTGATGCAGATCCGGATCCTGGATCCGCACTGGAAAAAATGGATCCGCTTTGAATCCGGATCCAGGTTATTTCTTTAAAATTTACTGAATTTTTTTAACAAGGCAGAATTTTAAAACTTTTGTCTTTTTTATTGATTATTTTTAAACTAAAACTTGATGAACCATTCAGAAATCAGGTTTCATAATCTCTATTTTTTTAATAGTTAAGATTTGGGGTTTGAGAGCATTTTTTTTTTTTTTTTTTCAGTTTTTGGTTTATATTTTCCCCTTACATCCGGATCCAGGTAACCAAAATCTTGCGGATCCGGATCTCAAGCACTGGTTTTAAGACTGTCCAGTTCCCTCTTTCCTTTATGACTTGATAGTTTTTGTTTATGAGTTGGTTCACTTCAATAATATTGTTCCTAACATTTCAGATCTTAGTCATTCTTTGTACCTTTGTGTTCTTGGTGAGCACCATGTTGGATCGACTTTTGGAATAACATGTTCGGACAGATCCAGCTCCAGCAGCTGTCTGGCTTCCAGTAGCTAGATATAAATAGAAATATATGTAGAGATATAAGGACTATCGGTAGCTAGATATATACAAATATTATGAATATAAAGACTACCAGTAGCTAGATATATACAAAATATAATTATTTTAAGGACTTCCAGTAGCTAGGTATAAACAAAATATACTGAATAAAAGGACTACAAGTAGCTAGATATAAATAAAACATAATAAATATAAGGACTACCAGTAGCTAGATAAAAACAAAATATATTGAAAATAAGGACTAACAGTCGCTAGATAATTACAAAATATACTAAATATTAGGACTACCAGTAGCTAGATATATACCAAATATACTAAATATAAGGACTACCAGTAGTTAGATATATACAAATATAATTAATACTAGGACTACCAGAAGCTAAAGTTAATACTTAATATAAGGACTAACAGTAGCTAAATATTTACCAAATATACAAGATTACCAAATATACAAGATATAAGAACTACCAGAAGCTAGAAATTAACAAAATATATTGAACATAAGGATAGCAGTAGCTAAAAATATCCAAAATATATTGAAGATAAAGACTACCAGTAGATAGATATATACCAAATAAACCAGAAGCTTTATGTATACAAAATATAATGAATGTAAGGACCACCAGTAGCTAAAAATATCCAAAATATATTGAATATAAAGACTACCAGTAGATAGATATATACCAAATATAACAGTAGCTTTATGTATACAAATTATAATGAATATAAGGACTACCAGCAGCTAGATATATACAAAATATACTGGATGTAAGGACCACCAGTAGGTAGAAATAAACAAAATATAATGATTATAAGGACTACCAGTAGATAGATATAACAATATATAGTGAATATAAGGACTACCAGTAGCTAGATATAAACAAGGTATAGTGAATATAAGGACTACCAGTAGCTAGATATATACAAATATAATTAATACTAGGACTACAAGAAGCTAGAGAAGAACAAAAACACAAAATATAATGAATATAAGGACTAACAGTAGGTAGATATATACCAATTATAATGAATATCAAGACTACCAATAGCTAGACATAGTTATATACGTATGCTGACTTTAAAAGTACTGCCATAATTTCTAAGAACCATACATTTAAGGTGGACAATGCCTGATTTACAACGGTACCCTTCAAACTTTGTCAGAGCAATAATATGAAAAATATCGTCATTTTTCTGGCCAATTCTGACAATACTTTAAATTACATCAAATAGATTGTTAACTTAGATTGTACAATCTGTACAATAGATGTCAACGTAGAATTTGTACATTCTCAGTACAGTGGGGGGGAGGACCCAGGGGGGAGGGGGGTCCAAAAATCGTTCTCTAGGACGGACCCAATGTTTCTCTGTTGCCACCTTTTGTACTAAATAAATCTGTTTGCGTGACCAGATACAAACATCACACGAAGAGTGGCATTTTATATGAAAATTAGTCGCTGAAATCAAATCATAATGGACTTACAAAAATCTGGAATCTGAAGCCCACTACTAGCGACCCGTTTTCTCCAAAAATCAGACAAGGTAATATTCGGACAACAGACTAATGGTCAAATTTAATTCACTTGATCTGATTTTAACGATATAAAAGCGATACAAAATTGGTTTAACACTTACCCAAAACACGGTTAAAGAGACGGATGGTGGCTGCCATGATTTTCTTTAGAAAATGAAACCTGTCAGTGGATCACGTGACCTGGCAGAAATAAAAATATTTGGTTTGGAAAACTGTACTTTGTCATCGTCCGCACAGGGTTTCCTGGATTTTCATAATAAATATGGAAATTATTTGGAGAAAAAATAGTTTATAAGGACCAAGTGAAGAGAAAGTAAAGAGTAAATATGTGTACACAGATGGAGGAAATAAAATATATTTTATGTTAGAAGAAAGTACAGGATGAAAATAAATAAAAGTTATCAAGTATAATAAAAATAAGGAATAGTTCAAACAAAAAAACTATAAAAATGTAAAAAACATAATAATGATCATAGAGTTATGAAAGTGAATGAATATAAAGCTAATTGCCAAATTATAAATTACGAATTTAAGAAGAAAGATAACTTAAGTGGTTCAAAGAGTACAAATAACGAATTACCATATGCCAATTCTAGTCATTAAATACCCTGCCAGTTTTTGTTTATTATTAAGTAATATTGAAAGTTCGATACTGTTTTTTTTGACCTACTGTACGATTCTGCTTAATTGAGTGAATTATGAAAAATTTAACACATTAAAACAATAGAAAGCTATGAAAAGAAAGTCGAAATATTTTGGGTTGTTTTAAACGTTAAATTTCAACAACCAATAAGAATGAAGAAAGAATATCCCCCGCCCCCCACAAGAGATATGTTAAATTACCTGAATTTGTCGGAGAAAAGTACACTTAGAAACAATTTATCTGAAATTAATTCAGTATAATTGCAACAAAACAGAAAGAATTTCAACAAAAAAAATAATTAAATAAACAACTTTTAAAATTATGGTGTAATTTAACACATTCTATAATACTGATTCAATATATCTTACAGTTTTGAGCAGTTCTGAAAACGTTTATTGCTAAGTTATAATATTATGTCTTCTGATTTGGTAAAAGCAGGAGGAGCCGAAGACTTTGTAATTTTTCATTAAAACGTTGAGAAGCGTACTCCGTGATTTATCTGGGGGCTATCCAGGGAGAGTTTCAGCACCTATTGGGACTAAAAATGACCTGTAATCTAGATTCCACTAATTAATAGCCCCTTGAGTACGTCTCTGAGAACGTTAACGCTGTTCCCTCTAGGCTAAGGTTATAATGCAAGGATAGTTAATTGCAGTTGTGTATACTCTGCGTTCTCTGAAAACAGTTCTCTCTGGGCGGAATTTGTAAACAAAAATAGATGCATCAGTGTTAGAATAGTATCTGAGGAGCATTAAATTTTGATAATTCCCATAATAGTTTCCTAGGACCAAAATATTTCATTGATTTTTTTATGTGAAAGATGGATCCCATGTCAGGCTACGTCTTGTGTTTATATTACCACACAGAGACAGTTCACTACAGTACAAAAGAACTCTCCTTGAATTATAACCTTGCTCCAAAGATGTATCAAAATACCCCTATTTACGTACACCAATTTAACGCACAAACAGATTTTTATATTCCTTAGATGGACAAAGGCCCAAAAATACTTTCCCATGAAGATCAAAGTTTGAAAGTATAAAAATGAACAAAAAAAATAAATTACTAAAAAAAGTAACGATAAAAAAGATATATTTATTGATGATTAAATCAAATGAAATTATTGACGGTAAGAAACGTTTTCCTGCTAGAACAATATTACTAGGATGCTGGTTGAAGGAGCTGGGTGTACTGGAATCCCTGGAATAATCGATTAGTTAAACAGGGAGATTTGAAATGGGTCCAAGTTCAGATATGTTCATTTCAAAAGTGTAAAAGACGGTTTAAAGATCCTCATTGATCTTTGAAATAATTCGCGACGCTCTAACCAACTTGTCCAATTATGATTATTAACCAAAAATTAAAAAATTCTTCCAATCCTGACATACTCAACATGTGGTGTGCACATTATGTGCTAACAGAATATTAACAATATTTCAGAATTTTGTTAATTAAATAGCACTCAAATTGTCTTAATATAAAAAATTTCTATCTTTTCTGGGTGAGTTGGGAAAAATAATGAAATTTTGAGTAAAAAATATTGCGAGTTTCAAAATTCCACCAGAAACCGCCGAAAATCAAATTTTTCTAATTTTTCATACAGGCAAATTTTTTTTTGTTACGTTATAATCTATACTTCCAAATTCCACTCCTCTCCGCGTACATACCTAACATAAGGAGGTGAAAATGTACACCAAATTTTCATAAGACCAATTAGGGTAAAAAAACAATACAATAATTTCCATGATTGGACAAGATACAGATCAAAAGCAACAGTTTCATTTTCTGCAGTGCTTCCAAGGGGAAGAATATCATCCAAAATGTTACTCTCAAATCCCAAATCTGATTTGTAGAATGGTTCATCAAGTCTCCGCATAAAAGTAAGCGAACAACAAAAATAATTTTAAACTTTTTTTCTAAAAAAAATCAGTAATTTTCAAAGAAATGTTCATTGTTCATGGCCTGGATACAGATCCATTTTTATCAGGGCGGATCCAGGATTCGGATCAAAATTAAATGGATCCTAAGCACAGCTTTCCTGAAAATTGAACCTTTTCTTACCAAAAACGTTACCAAAATACCTTTTCTGGAAAGCTTAAAAATCATGATGAATAATGAATCTTATTTTAATTTTCAAAAAAGAAAAAAATCTCGGGATTTTCATTTTCTGGTGTTAAAAATTTACAAGAAAAAATTGGGAGTTTCCAGGGAATGGGAGTAATCTTTAGAGTTTCAAATAAAAGATTAAAAAAAATAGGAATCCAAATTAAAAGCATTTTGCCTCTTTCAGTTAATTACCCCCTAAAGGAAATGCAAAATATATTCCCAACTGATTAAATTTAACAGAGTAACTGCTAATTTGTCAAAAATTAATGTCTTAATGCAAGTGATTCTTAATATATGCTTGCTTAACGGAAAAAAATAATCTGTGGAAGACAACAAAAATTATAATCGCATAAGAAGATTAGAACCGAATGAAAAATATTTTTTTTTATCAGGTTCTCTTACCGGAAGTCGGGGTTATCTTACCGGAAGTGATGACGGTTTGTCCAAAAACGCGCCGCGCTCCGCTCCACGTGTTCATCAACAAACATTCAACATGGAAAATGTTTAACCAAAGAATTTACATAGTTCTAAATCAAACTTGATACTAACAAATTTTTTATTGGGACGATAAGGAAATCAAAGTTGAACACACAGAAATTGCCTGAACATATATTCGGTGCGGGACAAGATAGAGGTTCACAAGAACAGTTTGATATTGCAAATCCACACAAATATTGAACAGGCCTAATATACAAATTTTTCACAAACTTATGTGTATTTAGTATTTACATATGAACGAAAATGCGATTGTTTACGGAATTTTTCGGCTTTTCGATGTAAGAATTCCGAGTCCTAACAACTCCATTTAATAGTAACCATCGTAGCCGCCGCCGGATCCGCCATAACCGCCGCTCCTTGCGCCATAATCATATCCGCCGCCGCCACCGCCGGCCCTGAATTCGGGGTTTTAATTATTCTTTTTAATGTAAACATTAACAGTGCAAGAAGGAATAAGTGCGGCAGGTTATTAGGGTTTCCAAACTCCCACTTCACACTGCACTTAGTCAGTAGATATTAAGATAAGAAGTAAATGAACCAATCCTTTAGATTGAATAATTGGAAACCCTTAAATGCTGTATTTTGTTCATATTCTCACCTGGCTGGGGATCTCCTGCTGTACATCTCCCCTCCTCCACCACCTCCCCGTCCTCCACCATAGCCTCCACCTCCACCCCGACCTCCTCCGTAGCCACCACCATAATCCCTCCGACTGTAGGAGTCTCTCATAGGTCCTCCACCTTGACGGGGTTCATAATCATCCTCAGCAAAACTTTGATATCCACGACCGTATCCTCCATCTCGAGGTGGGTAGGGAGCATTACGAGGTCCCCCTCGACCTCCTCTAGGTCCACCACGACCTCCTCTAGGTCCACCTCGACCCATGGGTGGTCCACGCATGTAGGGTGGGGGACCACCACGTCCTCCACGGAAACCTCCACGAAAGCTGAAATAATATAGTGTCGTTTTTCTGATAAACTAATGTTGACTAGCAAATTTAAAGCACTGAACTACTTGAGAGGAAAACAGTTTAAGACTTACATGCCCAATTCACAACAGTACCCGTAAAACCATTGTCTGGCTAAAATGAAATAATATTTTGAATCAGACACGCAACTCCATTAATGAAGGACCACAAAAAAGTACATTATTTTAACTGTTATATCATGAAAACAGAATAAATCCTACCCTGGAGGTCCCATCCCGTCCCAGGGGCATTCTTTAGACCAGTGTCCTCCCCTCCCGCACCTAGAAAAATACATATTGTAGTTACATAAATATTAGTTACGAAATACAGTGGGACCCATAAAAATATGAATATGTTGACCTCAAAATATTGTCCCAATAAACATAACACAGCCATTGTGCTGTTCACAAAATCCTATTTACAAAGAAATGTAAAGGAAAAGAAGAGTTACTATCCAAGAAAAAGTAAATATCAAAATGATAAAATGAAGTTCAAGAAAGAAATTTTCGGCGTAATTTCAAATGACTTAACATAGAATGTGTTGCATTGCCAAATCTGAACAATTATCTGGATAACAATGAGATAAGTATATCAATGTTAAAATAGTTCAATCCATCTAACAAAAAATTTAATTAGCTTCGTTCCTTGATTCTGCTGCATAAATCCGATAGAGAAACCGCAATTGAAAATAAATTTATTAACAGAAAACCAGGACATCTTAATAATTTTTTTAAATGGTTTAATGACAATTTTAATTGGGGTTGGATCCATTTGGATGGAAGGGCGCATGAATTCTCATCAACACTCGACAGTGCCTTAAGAAGAACTAATTAATAATAAATATATATTTACTTGAAGCATTGATCTCCATCCATCCCTGGTCTAGTTCTAACTCCACTAGTAGACAGCTGGACACGGATCTTGTTACCGTTTAGTTCATATCCGTTCAATTCCCTTTACATTTATTCAGTTTAATTCCCTTTTCATTTATACAGTTCAATTCCCTTTTCATTTATACAATTCAATTCCCTTTTCATTTATACAGTTCAATTCCCTTTTCATTTATACAGTTCAATTCCCTTTTCATTTATACAGTTTAATTAGTTTAATTTCCTTTTCATTTATACTGTTAATCATTAGAGGACAAAATAAGAGCAGTAATAAACAAAAACAAGTTTGATCCCTTTTTAAACCTTTTTAATTCATATGTTTGACTTCATTATTATGTATTTTAATAAATAAACATTTGAATCTTAGATTAGTTGAAATGAATATAATATCATTATTATTATTATCTCATTATTTCAGGAGGATTTTATAAGCCTTGAGAGAATATTTTTAAAACACGACTCGAACTAAAAGCTTTTTCCCCCGTGTTAAGTTACCTCCACCAAAATTAATTTACAAAAAGTCTAAATTTGTTTTCCCTTATTCGTTTTGGTTTATATGCACAATATCTCTAATATTAATCAACATCGTTTTTGCCCTACTAATTTTCGTCCCCATCATACACTGATAATAATTATTTCATAACTACTTTACAGGGAAATTAAGGTAATTTTACTTTACTTAGGGTTTTACACGTCGGTGAAACCCGTGGTTAAGTATAATTTTTAATTTCCCAAAAAAATAGTTGTATACAATTATATCGTTTTTGAGACGCAAATGCGCGATTTTTTTTCACAAAAACTACGCAGAGGGCTCATTATTTTACTTAATTGTCCGAAGGGACGTTATTTTTAATAACTAAACGTCCCTCTTTTGGCAGAATCATCGGTTGGTATTCATTAATGTTTGTCCAAAGGCAGTAAAATGTAATACTTACTTGATAATCTGGTTGGTTTTCCCCCTTCCGACGGATGCATCAATGTGGACGAATCCAAAGTTCTTTCCAGTCATAACATCAGCTTCAAGAACTTCACAGTAAGACTCAAACAGAGACCGTAATTGCTAGAAACAAATAGAATATTATAAAAACTATCACATGGGATGTTGCGTGATAAATAAATTAAAAAATTTGCTTTTATATACAAGGCTTAATAAAGTGAAGAAAAAAATTGGAATGAATGTTATATTTTTCCCCTTTACTCAAGACATTGCGCTGAGGATTTTGTAAATTGCATCTGTTGAAACTTATATATTTCTTAAAATATCCAAGCTTCTCTTTAATAATTTATAGTTAGAAGTAAATAGAAGGCGACAATATTTGATTTCAATTAATACAAGACTGTTAAATTTACCTCGTTTGTTGTTCCATCAGCAACATTTCCTATAAACATCTTCTGAGAAGGTTTCTTCGGTCCTTTACTCTCAGATTTCTCAACCTAGAATGGGAAGAGATAGTTAGTGTTAAGCAGATTAAATCAAAGATATCTTTAGTGGATAATGAATTGTGTGAAATAAAAGATAATTTTCAATCAAGAAGAAGAAATGTTTGATCAATGTTAACAGTTAGAAGTTGATTGGGCGTTGTCTTCGTTCAGTCTTAATTAAAACCATTTCTTAAACTAATTTCTAAGATTGTACAAAGTGGTCAACACCGAACGCTGAACTCTGAAGACTGACCATTTGACCAATAACACTGAACACTGAACTATGAAGACTGACCATTTGACCAATAACACTGTACACTGAACAGAGAACATTGAACACTGAAAAGTGAAAATTGAACACTGAACCTACCTTCATTGGTCTACCCTTAACTTCCCGACCATTAAGCTCTTTAATTGCAGTCTCAGCTGCCTCCTCAGTCTCCATGTGTACAAATCTTTAATAACAATAATAATGTCAGATTAAATATGTAGAATAAATCTACTATCCATTTCAAATTCAAATCCAAATTCAAATTAAATACTTTTCGCTTTTCAGAAAATCCTATTTCAGGTCATTTAATTAGAAAACATTGGGATGACACACGAAGAAGTGAAAGTAATAAAATCAAAAGGAGCATAGGTTCTCTGGGTGATGTGAACCCTTGTATTGAAATGCAAAAACATTTTTTGCTCTACTTGATGAACTTAGATGGAAGTGGTCTCGGGAAGCGTTTATATAATGTGGCGTTTTTAAAGGGTAGCATATTTATAGTATGACCCACCAAAATCAAGATTTTACCGAAAAACCGAAAATGACTTCCACTTGACGTAATGATCCGATCAACCTAAAATTTTCACAAAATGCTCATATTGGGCCACATCAAACATATAACCTATGCACCCCAATTTTTTTGTTTAACTCCATTCGTGTGTTATTATATGCCAGTAGTAATTTGTTTTTTCTCCCCGTTTTTTGGATGCCCGATTAAACCCTTCACCGACTTGACTCAAATATTTCAAAAAAAAATAAATTCAGTGGGTTGACTTTACAGCGAGCGTTTAGTTTCCATGTAAATCTGGGTTCCCAAGCTAGTTCCATAATTGTATTTGAAAATATCCCAACATCCTACCCGTAAAATTATCTTATACAGAAGTCTACGGCCATAAAGATAACCTTGAATGAATGGCGGGGAGGGGGGTAAACTTACCCATAATTCCTAATAATCTCGCACTCAGTCACGGTTCCATATTCAGCAAACAACGGTCTAACATCGTCGTTGGTTACAAGGTTTCCGTCCGGAAGGTTTCCGATAAAAAGCTTCACCATTTTATGTTCCTTGACTCTCTGAAAATATAGTTTTATTGAAAATGAATTTAAAGAGATCCTCACCTGAAGCAATAGAATACTCCTCTCGCACCCTAAATATATATTTTTAAAGACAAACATGATTTTGCTCAATCGCTTGAACTTCACATGAAAATTCGAATGTTTCATGTTTCAAAATTTTAAACGATGCCTTAAACAGGAGAGAAAAATCGATGAAAAACTATTTCAATGTGGTACTTTTAAATCTTTACAATCACAAAGCTTAAATGTTTTATTTTACCATGCAATTGGCATCTCTGTATAATTGTATATATGTATATATTTCTTCTTTATCTGTCTGTTTGTATCCATAAACGTCAAAACGGTTAAACCATTCCGGGCCCAAATTTCTTGTGGTTATATGGCGGACGAAATTGAAAACTTTTGCCTAGAAAAAATTACGACATTTTCGATTAATAAAAAATCCACCAAAAAAGCCACAAACAATTTCAATAATTGTCTCGTTTGAGATAAGTTTTTCGATTTGTCAGGTGTATCTGAGATGATCAGTTTCCTGAGTCACACAGCGTTGAGAACTCTCCAATTATTACCTAGAAATTATTTTTTAGGTATTTCTATTTTTGAAATTCCTGATTCGAACGAATTTCTTTAAAATAAACATTTACGCGAGAAAATAACAATCCAGATAATTCGAGAACAAAAACAGAGAGCATTGAATTAAGTGGTCAAAAATCGTAAATACAAAAGGGAATAAAGAACTCGAGTGTATCATTGTGTTACCTCTGCATTACCATTTGATCGTAAGATATCGTCGTTTTATGATATTTACCATCTTTGCTCAGTTCGATCGTTCACATTGTATCGATTGACGTTATAATATCGTTAAACGAACCGTTTCCATGGATTCATCGTCTGAAATAACAAGGATATTAGAACAAGATAAAACACTGAAAATATTTAGAAGTCGAAGAAAAGGGTTTACAATGCTTCATATAACTATAACTTGCAAATTTTGTTTGTTTAAAACGTACTTAAATTAGTTCATTGAAAAAAACCACCAAAAACTCAAATGACTTGAAAGTATTTTTCAGCAAAAATGCTTTATATTAAAACGACGAATAACGAGTCCAAATCTTGCACGACTTCGTGTTCAACCCATAGATTCGACAATTTCGAGCATAACGTCGGGGAACTGCTTAAGCTGTAGTTTAGTTGTCGTATCCGCCATGATTACACGCCGGTTCTCCGCAATATATTTGGTGGCAAATGTTTTGAGTTCAGGGAGTCCCCCGTCCACTGAGAACTGTAGGGTCTGGATAACATTGGCAGGATTCAACCCCTTCACAGATAATTTCATTTAGAAAATAAGATTCATCGGTTTATTTTTGTTAATACTAGTTATAATTTCCCATAAACAAATTGGCTGGTCCAATTCACAACCGTTCCCATTAAACCTTCTGTGTGACCATACTCTAGTAACTTCAAGAGAAAAAAGAAAATGTCCGACTTAAACATTTTTCATAGAACACCGACGATAGCATCCTTTTCCGATGAAGGTTTAAAGGGTACCGATGTGGATCGAACCTACCATGGAAAATGAAGGGTCCCTTAAATGGTAAAAACGCGATCCTTGTTAACTGAGAATGTTTGAAATTTAGAAACATAATTTTCTCTTGTCAATTTTAAATTGTACCGAGGTTTGACCATGGAAACATTATTTAAATCTCAAGGAGAAAAAGGTTAAAAACTCGTAAATCTATTTATGAAATTGAACTTTTCCTTTGCAAGTTCGATAACTACAGCATCCTTAGCTCCATTGATAGAATATTGCTCAGCTGCCTGAAGAATAGTTTGATAACAATCAGGACCAACATCAACCAGGGATATCTGGATAGCAGTGAGTAAACAATACGGGCCAAACAATAGATTAAAGTTAAACAAATACAAAACTTAGTGCTTAGAACACTGAACTGGATTCTGGATCCATCTTATAAAAAAACGGATCCTAGTGCGTAACTATTTATTTCCAAGTTTTGCTAATTTCTTCCATAAAAAATGTCGAAAATTTCGTTTTCGTTTTTTGCTTATTTTTGTTTGAAAAACATGAATGAAAATTCAATGAAAAGGAAGATTGATAGCTTTAATTCTTTGCTCTTTACAACCCGATGTTGTAAACCTCAGCTATTTTATATTTGGAATTCTGCTATATCTTTAAGTGAACGTTTGAAGGGGGGGGGGGGCACAAAACGTATTACTCTCCGAATAATTTTAACAATGTTCAAATATAACTTAAAAATGGTTGTAGGACACTAATTTTTTGCATGTGGACTCAAAAATATGTATTGTAACTGCAAAATTTAGTCTTATAAATATTCGAGCAAAAGTGCGCCCGCGCTTTTTTGTGAATAATGCTATTGATCACACTTTCGCAATCTTGACACCATCAAATGAACTTGACCTTACTTCTACGTTTTTAAACAAGTAATCCCTGAATAATTTTGCGCCAAAAAGCCTCAAGTCCCGGCGCGCGCGGATTTTTTTTAAATATTTGAGATTATATGTTTTATCGTGTTTGGCATAATTCAGAGTTCTTAAGTTAAGTCAAAGTCAAAAATTTACATCAGGTTAAAAAGAATAAAACTTTTAGCTTTCTTTAACAGATCAATAACAAAATTTATCAAAAACAGGATCTGTCTAACTAGAAGACTTTTTATGGTTTACTTTCCTTGCCGGAGTAGATGAATTGCAGAAGTACATTAACAACTAGTCCTGAATACTCTCTGATGTATAGTGTTGAGGATCCGTTGGATAAACTTTCAGAGAAAACTGGAGATTTAGCCGCCAGGATAACACCATGAGCCTTGGATAGATGGATTTTTTTCTTGGTTAAGATTGTCTATTTAAACTTTATGTAAATTCGAGATCTTAAATCAATTCTTTCAACATTGATTTTCCTTTAAGCTTGTAACGTTTATATACGTTAGATATAGATATATATTTTTTTGACCATGCATTATAATTAAGGGTGAACCAAATTGGAGAAATCATTTTTTTGTTTCAACTCTATATTGCAAAATAACACCTAATACTGTGAGATTTTTCAAGAAAATGTACTTCCTGAGGTCGAATTTAAAGAATTTGAGAAACGGCTTAAATTTAAGCCGTGGCTCAACTACGGTTGGTTCCACTAACAATGTATTCAATTTTTCAAGATTTAAGCCGGCGCTCAATTGAAACCGGTTTACTTCATTAAGTTCAGACACTGACTTTATATAAACTAACCTTGAATGTAGCATCAGAGCACTGTATCTGAGTATCAATGAACCGACCAGTTTTAACTAGTTGTGTCAACTGTGATCCCATTTCTGTCAGGTTGTCATGGGAGATTACCGTCTCATACTCCTACAGAACATATTTATCCTTTTCAACTTAATTCATACCAAAAATAATTATCTATAGTAATTAAGCAATACGCTTGTACATAATATATGTTAACTAATGCTGGTCAAACGACTGAACCAAATTGGCAGAACTTTGAGTATCCTTGAATTAATTTTCTATTTCACTCCATAGCTGTAATATTTTGCTTTACTACTTCAGGATAGAAAGAGATCTCAATGCAAAAATTATAAAAGTTACTCGGTGCAGTTTAAAGGAAATGAAGAAATCTGTAGGAGGGCGTTTACAGGAAAGGCCAAGTGAAATTTAATGAATTGAAGAGGTCCTGAACTACCTACCGCCGGTTCGAATCCTGAATCACCGATTCAAATCCTCATGAATAACTTTGAATCGGTATTCAGAATTTTAACCGGCGGTAGGTAGTTAAGCTACCTAGCTTAAAGGGGAGGGGGGCGTAAGTCGTATTAATCTCCGGAACATTTAAACAGTGGTTAAACATAAGTGTAGGACGCTGATATTTTGCATGCAAACTCACTAATATGTTTGTAAATGCAAAATGCAATTTCAAATAGATCGGAGCAAATGTGCGTGAGCAATTATCTATAAATTGATATACGGCCTGTAAAACGTATAGTAAGATGACCCATAATGTGACATCTGGCTACTAGCGCGCCGGTCAGAATGATTCAAAGTCAATTTTGACCTCGGAAATGAATTCCGTGTCCCAATTTACCTTTAGTTCAATTATTGCATGCTACTTTTGTTTTGAATTAGGCACAACTTGGATTAAAAATATTCATTAATATTTTTCTTAATTGCGCACGCGCGCGGGGACTTGAGGCTCTAGGGCGCAAACTTTTCAGGAATTTATTGTTTAATCGCGTCCTCATGCAATTTCACGTTCATTTGACGGTGTAAAGCATTTGAAAACGTGAAAAAAATCCTATTACACAGCGCGCGCGAACATTTTCTCCGATCTATTTGAAATTGCATTATGCAGTTACAATACATTTTAGTGAGTTTGCATGCAAAAAATCAGCGTCCTACGACAATGCTAAGTTATGTTTAACCCCTTTTAAAATTTTCCGGAGAGTAATACGACTTATGCCCCCCCCCCCACCCCTTTATTAAATTCGGTCCCAGAAATCTTGAATCATATTTTATCTCTTGTAAGAAAGAATGTTAACTCTGGAATTCTGCATACGTGGCCCTCCTCCCTACCCTGCCTGAGATATAAATAAAATCCTACGCCTTTGAAGCCTGAATTATTATATTCTATTCTACCTGCAGGGATGAGGTGAAGTCTGTGCCACGGCTGCTGCTACTGGTGGAATTATTCCCATTGGATTGATTTTTTGTATAATTCCCTCCTCTTCCCCTCCCATCATCTCCCATACCAGACCCTCCTCCCATCACAGGGTTCATCATCATTGGGTTCATCATAGATGGGTTCATTAATCCCATTCCATTAGGGTTTCCCATCATAGGATTCATATGGGAGGAGTTCATCATGGGATTGTTCATTATCTGTCTATCCATCATCTGATGCATTCCTCCTCCTCCTCCCCGTCCCATCATACCCTGGCCTCCCATCATAGGGGCAGGGTAGGGTGAAGGGCGTTCCCTGAAGAATGGACCGCCCCTGCCACGCCCCCTACCACCTCCACCATATGGCATCATATCTTCCTCGCCTTTCTTAACCGTCTAGACATAGAAAATACAATTTGAAATAACTCTACAATACCAGGTTTATGCGCACCAAAAATATTTGACTAGAAAAAGAAGTTCAACTTAGCAGCTCTAGTTCAACTAATCTCTGCGTCCTTTGTCATTATTTGTCAGATCACGGTTTAAAAATGTCCCCTGTGTTTAAAACATTAGAAGATAAAAATGAAAAATCTTGTTTAATGATATGTGGGAAGACTTAAAATTTAAGTAAAAGATGAGACTTTACTGATGAGTTAAAAATTACGATATGAAGGTTAAATTTGCGTTTCTTGCCTAAACATTGACTTCTAATGTAATACTTAAGCATTTTTCAATAAATTTGTCAAGTTTCCAACTGCAGGATTCTATGATTGTAAGAAACGAAGTAAGACTGAGAAAATTCCGAACCATTGTCTCTAAAGTCTCATCCTTAGTGGATATTGGATAACCCTGTACATTCTAGTTTTATAAATGACCCGACTTACCTCACTGAACTGGACGCTAATATTACTACCATCAAAGTTATATCCGTCCAAAGCGTCTAGTAACAAATGAATTGTGAATCACCAGCACATTAATGCTACAGAAAAAAATATTAGGACATTGTTGGAATTATACACTTTTCAGATCAGAAAAAAACTTCATTGATTAAAGGGGCATGCCCCTTTAAATCATTATCATTATTATTATTATTATTAAAGGACAACCCCGTCAATTACATCTAAGCTCCCTTCGGGGCACAAATAAACTCGTATCTAAATGACAACCCCCCTGTCATTCGAAGATCTGATGATTTCATTATTTTTACATTTAGGTAAAACTTACGTATTATTTGTTCTGCAATTTTCTTGTCTGAGTTAGTCTCAATGTGAACAAATGCGTAATTCTTATTCTTCATGATATCACACTCCAGCACCGAAGCTCCATGCTTCTCAAACAGTTCCCTAAATAAAAAATGTTTTTATTAAAGTAATTTCCAAGAAACTGTGAAATAATAGTCGTTTTTGTTCTTCAATTTCAATATGAATTGTTGAAAAGGATTTTGAAATTTGTAATTGTGAATAGTTGTGACTACTGACTGATATATTTTCATTACTTTTTATAGAAATAAATCTACTACAAAATCTTATCAAAACTTAGGCTACATATAAGAAAACAGTGCTTAGCACCCATTTTATTTTGGAATCCGTCCTGTACATAATTTATCAAGGTGATGAACATTTCTTTAAAACAACCGATTTTTAAAACAAAAGAAGAATGTTCAAATTATTCTACTTTTAATCCACTCATTATTATGCTTAAACTTGATGAACCATTGATGAACCATTGATGAACAAATGGATCCGGATTTGGATCCATTTTTTTCCAGTGCGGATCCAGAATCTGGATCCGGATCCGCATCAAAATTAAATGGATCCTACGCTATTTATAACAGTTCAGTTAAGTATTTTGAAACCAATTAGTTTTTCCTCCCGTTTTTGTCGATATTTTGCCCCTTGGACCCAGAAAGCTAAAATGTTGCAGATCCAAAGGATCCTATTCACTGTAATAAAGAGAAATAAAAGAAAAAGAAAATAATTAAAGTATTTACTGGCAACCACAGCTAGAAAAACATTAACAAAGAACTGGAGGATTAATATTTAAATAATTAATTTTAAACTTAAATATCTTTAATATGCACCATTTTAGTCAAATCAAATGACACGGGGTAGGGATGACATTAGACCGGATACCATATTAAAATATATTTCAACCTCTGTATTTTATCACCATTTCAGTAAACAATTTTATGTTGGTTAATATGCTGATTACGGTATACCCTTCAGCATTTGATAAAAGCCTACGACTACACTTACTTGAGCTGATATTCCTCTAGACCCTTGGGTAGTCTTCCAACGTAGTATTTAACTGGTTTACTACGGGAGCATTCAACGCTTATCCTCTGGCCCTGAACACAATTATAACTTACTAGCTGAATTACCCAGCGTTGCCCAGGGTACTCAAAGTTACTACCACCGTCCACCCGCTCTTGGTTATCAATTAAAATTTTAGCCATTTTTCCCTTTTAATGTGGACCCACTCAATTTAGACTCTCAAAACCAAGCTAAGATTATTTCCGTGGATCTCCCGAGTTCCCCAATCAAAATTTGAATCAAATCGGTCAATGGGGTTCATGAATTATGATCGGACTAACAAATGAACAGATTACAACTTTATATATAGGTTTAAGGGACTGTCCAATGTCCACGTATATTTTAACTGACTCCCATTTTAAGAGTATAATGTCCGTTTCAGATACCCTTTAACCGTCAACGAGAAACATGCCGTCATTTATCTAAAATAAAATAAAACCTTGTCAATTTCCTCATTGTGTATGCTTCATTGTGTATGCTGTATAAAATCGCAAGTCACTTTATAATAAGGACAACTGTTGGTACAGAAAAATGGTTTACATGTTTACAAGCAGATGCAAACCAGACTATTCTTAAGGTCCAGGGGACAACAGATAAAGATTGAAACGTAGAATCCAATTGTAAATTGAGAGTTAAGATACAGAAAATATTCTCGTTTCCAAGGTTTACGAAGTAACTGAACAGAGAAAACAAACTAAACTTGACGCAACAAGATTCTCTCAACCGTTTCAATTAAACAAACTAAACCGTTTCATTTAAACACGCTATTGCAAAAGCAATTCTTAGATTTTCTCCCCCCCCCCCCTTCAGAAATCAATAGGGTAATTAGGTTAATTGCCCATCATTTACATTTTCGAACATTCCTGGAAAATATGAAAATGCCGTCTTCAATATAAAAAAATCCTCGAAACAGGAATGTTTTCAAAAGTTACTCTCGGATCATAAAAAATAAAAAAAAATATTTGAAATATCAACTATATACAAATGCGTCGAAAAAATATCGATGATTATAGGTTGTAATATCTGAATGATTTGTTTTGAATTAGATTAATATTTTACGATCCGAGTCGAATATTGCAACTTTGTGAATTTGCATGGACGCTAAGTTCTTCGGCATGAGTTTTTATACAATTTTCTCCCTATAGACGCAACAGACAGAAGTAAGATTAGTAGCAATCACCTATATCCCCTTTCATTTTTCGCGAACTTTTTTTACGTAAACCTATGTAATATTTTGATTGTCGGATAAATTCCTGTTATTGTAAAATTATTACCTTAATGCTATGTCTGTTAAGTTTCTGACATGCTCTCTTAGCAGCATCCGCATCTTGCATATGCACAAACCTACAATATGATTATTATTTGTTTTGTTGAAAAATATATAATTCATCTTCTTTGGGTTATTAATATATAGTTCTATTCCTCGAATGAGTTATATGTGATTAATACAAACCTTTATACAATAAAACTTAAAGCAGTTCTAACATTTATCAGACACAAAAACTAGGTAAAATTTATGTAGCAGCAATATGAGGAGATTCTCAAAAACGTTTCTTTTTTCAGAGAAAAATCAAACTAACAAACTAACACAGTGCTAATCCCGTAAATGTTTTATGAGTTCAAATGGTTGCAGAATAAATAAACTTTAATATTATTTGTGGCAGAAATTATAGAAAAAACTAATTGAAGCAGCGTTTATAGACTAAGACACTTGTAGTAGCAGATTTTGTTGACTAAATTTTTAAGTGGCAGATTTTACGGATATAAAATGTGTCTAAGAAACAAATCATGTCATTCTAATACAATGATTGCTTGGTGCAACCTTGGAACACTAAAATACTGTTGTTTATTGGCACAATCGATGCAATGTGTGTAATTCTAACGAATATAAATCTTGATCAGAGTCGTTCACGGTGGGGTACTGAGCCCCCCCCCCCCCCAGTTTTTAACTTTAGTTTCCATGGGGATTTCAGGCCACACAGGGTGATGAGCTCCCCTGAAAAAAAAATATTTCCTGTGATCGCTCTTAATCCAGATGAACTCCTGAACCAACTAGAAGACCTACCCGAACGGTTTTCCTTGTATCCGGTCCACCTGGGTTAGTTCACCAAACTCTTCAAACAGTTCCTGTAGATCCTCACTAGTGATGTAGTTATCCCTGAATAGAAGCATTGAATTCAATCATCTTCATATAGTGAAAATTTTAGATTGAAAAAAAACTTGTTCTCGAGTCGGACTTTGTTAGTAAAATGTGGAAAGGTTTATAAATTAAAATTATCAAAAACCATTTCAAAAATGTTTTAACATTGTTGAGTGCTCACGGTGTGAGAATAGTTAAATTTTTCTTTTGTTTTCGTGGTATGAGTATGTCAAGTACAAACTTTCGGCTTTAAGTCAGCCTCTAAAAAACGTGCAACTTACCCCTCAGCGTCGACATCAAGGCAACCAACGAATATTTTCACCATTTTCTTGTTTCTAGAAAATAAAAAATGCCTGAATCCAAGCCCAATATGCTTGTTACAGATATAACAAAAGGGGACTGCCTGACTAGACAATATGTTTATAAAAAGAAAAATGCGATGAACATGAGTATTTGACTGACAAACAATACAATGTCGTGAATATCATTTACTCTCCAGTTTTTACTAATTTTTCAATTTATCATTGAATAATTTTCCTATTTTGAGTTTTGACTGAGGATGATGAGAATGGAGTGTATTACAAGTTCAGAATGAATACAATGAAGACTCAGGTCAGCCTAAAGGTCCTTTACATTTTGCAAGTAATATCGAACAACCAAAGGTATTATGGATTTTTTTTTTCTCGAAATTATTAACAACATTATAGAAATAGCTCTAGTTTGTTCTAATAGCAATTTTTCGAACAAAAAATTCGTTATTTCAAAATGCTTTCAACACGTTCGTTATTATTAACAAAATGTTAGGATTTTTTTAACAGTTTAGGTTTAGATCTTGATATAAATTCTAGATACTGATCACAAATTTTCTCTGGACTAAATATGAGAACTAGCTGGGGGGAGTTATGAATGTTGAGTGTTGGACTCCAGCTAGCCTGGAAGAATGTGTAAGGATGTATATATATGAGAATATAAACTATCCCATAATAAGCCCAGCACCCATTTGAAAACTCTGCTTTGGATGATTAAGAAGTCCACAGAGTGAGAGTGTAAGAGGAAGAGGTAAAAGTTTTTTCTCCAGAACTCCTTTAACATTCCAGTTGGAGTCCAGGGCTCCTCGGAATACAAGGCCAGCCCGGGGAATCTCAACCTTAATACATAACATTTTCGGGGCTGTAAGCGTAATTTCAAGTGACCCTCCATGCAAAGATGGTTATGTCCGATTTACAACGGTAACCATTGAAAGGTTTGTCAGATTAAATATGAATTAAATATCAATTTTTTTGTTTCTTTACATTTTTTTCATTTGCGGTTTCTCCGAGAGAGTGACTTGCGCAGCTTTAGAAAAACTTGTATAAATAAATACTTTTGAAGTCAAAAGAACGACAAAATCTTCCACATTTTTGATCAGATTAAGGTTTCAAGAGTACAGTTGTAGATCGGGTATTTCCATCTTTGCATGTAGTTACTTGAAATGACGCTTACAGTCCCTTTAAATCTAGTAGAAACTTTTGCAACGAATTTTATGGAGTTCATTGCAGATTTAACAGACGTATTATTTTTAGCAGACTTGCCTTGGTGGTTAATTTTTTAGATTTTTAAGTAGGGTTAAGGTACTCCTTTCTTCGTATATACATTTAGTTTGTCTGTCTATACTCTATTGGCTAATCCGTTAGTGATTTATTATTTGGTCTTCCCGAAAAAGTTGGTATTTCTCTATTTTTTGGAGATCCACCAAAAGTTGGTATAAAAATCAGCGAGATCTTAAATTGTCATTTATCATAATAAACTTGAGGGTTAGGTTCAAAAAAGGATATTACCTGGTAAGCCAAGGATCCAACAGTCTCGGCCATTTTCAAATTAGCTTCAATTTCAGTCCCAACCTGTAAAAAAATCCTGTTTATTAACACTTAGTTCAATAAAATAGGACGGAGTCAACAAACCTTCGTTACGTGTCAATATAACGTGAAACCCTTAATAAAGAATACATCGGAAGAATTTATCAAATGTCGTCTTGACAATTTTTCAATGAGTTTTATACTATATTACGTAAATTTCAGTATTTGCGAAAATAAATAAATAGCCATGAATATGCGGGAACAGTTTTAATGAGTTCCATATAATCATTTAATTAAAAAACTAAATATCTGCAACATTCCATTATCAGAAAGTGATGAATACGACATTTGATGAATTCTTTCGATGTATTCGTTATTAAGGGTTTCACTTATATTCTCTATTAGTGAAGATTACCAAAATAAGCAATTTCTGATATTCAGTTACTTAGAAATATAAGTTTAAGATTGATATTAAATCTATGTTGTACTGTAACAGTACAAAATATGGGGCTTGAATAATACAAAGTGAAGGATGGTTTAATAAAACTCAAAAACTTCATGATATAAATTGTTGATATAAAGGTGTTTGTTTGGAACCTGTAAATCCTCACTACATTTCTGCCAGAATGAAGCGTGAATGGCTCCACTGTTAGATAAGGTAGAGGCTAAACAATAATCTGGACCTAAACAGTAAACAAACCACGGTTCAAACGTGAATGTGTCTTAACATTCTTCAACTTTTGAACAAAATCATGACACTGTTGAATCCCAGATATTTACATTGCAAACCTGAAACCAGGGTCGCAGTGTTAGATTGCAACCCTAGGGATGCAGTCTAACTAATTGCCAATTTTCTGCCAAGAAAATGCGGATTTACAACTTCGAAAACATTAATTAGATTTGATTTCTGAGCTCAAAAATATTTGTTAGAAAACTAAACGGATTTTAAAGTTTTAAAACCTAAAGAAGGTAGATTTTTATGAAAATTAAAATATTATATGTAGGTTAGAAGTGGAAACATCTCCATAAAATTGGTTAAAAATTTAATAATTACATATCTCCTCATTTACGTAAGGCAACAAGGATGCAATAAATATGGGAGGGAATATTACATTGTCTTGGCTTCCCTCGACCTTGTTGGGTCGCAAAGCATCCCTCGCTGCGCTTTTTGAAGCGTTATGTCTTGGGAAATGGGAAGTCTTGGCAATGTAATATTCCAAGAAAAGTAGCTTAAATCGTCTGCGCTTTCGAATCTTAAGTAAGAATAATATTGGACACTAAACAAAAATATATTAAAAATTTCGTCGCTGAATGTTTTATTTAAACAAATTAATTTTAGAGTTTAGATAAATATAAAAATACAATCAATAAATCTACCTGAATATCTGCCGGCCAATGATAGAGCAGCAATATGGCCTCCTAAAGATATTTGAATATTAGTGATATTGAATATATTCAAATATTAGTATAATATCTATAAAAATGGTAGACAACAATTTAAAAATGGGTAGGTTTGCGAATATACATAAATACAAAAATATACATAAATTAACCTGGTAGTTGAGGACTAGATTGATAAACAAGCTCAGCTCCCAGAGAAATATTACTGGTGACCGTCTGAAGGTATTGTAGAACTCCGACACCGGTTCCAGAGATCAAATCGGGATTTGCTAAACAAAAAAATTAAATTTAACTTCTTCAAAAAATCACAACTTTATTGATAGAATTAAAAAGTAAGAAAAATATTGAAAATGGAAAAAAATGAAAGTGAAAAAAAATGAGCGTAACTTTTGAAACTTGCTCAGTGCAGTGGTTGAAATTAATGAACTGCAAGAACACGGTTTACATGTAAGGCTAAGGCACTCTATTTATTAATAGAATATACAAATATTAATTGGATTAAATTTTAAAACATACATTTGTAACATGAAAGCTAAAAGTCTAATAACCTACCTAGAGTTAGATTAGCTGTATAATCTGCTCCTTTATAATCTGCTGTTAGCTGACAACCCTGCCATTTAGACTGCTGAATCTGGGCAATCATCTTACACCTGGAATATTAACCATAATTAGTTTGGCTAGTACTACACAGAGATAAAACAAATTTCTTGAAAAATATTTTTTGTGATTTGTAAATAGAAAAGGGGGAAACTTTAAAGGTTATAATTAAGAACACAAAACAAACCATTAAAAAACGGCCCCGTTTATTGATTCATCTACCCCTTCCATTCCTCATGATGAAAAAAACTCTTGTGAGCATTGTTTTCTAGGTTAGGTTAGGATCTGACAGATAGATATAGGCGGGATGTTGCTTTTTACAGATGAATGTATAGAGAAATCACCGAAATTTCCTCACCATGAGGATACTAATTTTATTGCTCATTCATCCGAATAAACCAAATAATTGTAAACCTGATATTTTTTGTTGGAGCGTCAATAATGTGAGCCTGGAGGTTTCCTGCCATATCAATATCTCCGAGTAGTATAGGATACGCTTCCTGGGGGGATATAACACGAGATGCTCCAACATAAGTTGCTCCAAACCTATAATTGAACAATTATGTCATATGTTTGAATATTAATACCAAATCTGAGATGATATAATTAATAAATAATAATTTAAATGACAAAGACTTACGGGGAAAATTGAAAATTAAAGTAACAAATACCCAGGAAAGGTTAATAACCCAGAGCTTACCCGGATATACAAGTAATGGTTTAAATTCTCAATTGTAAAAATTATCTTTATTTATGTGGATTTAAAGGGGAAAGGAGAAGTTTCTATAGTTCATAGATTTCACACAAACTATAGAGGCTTCTCCAAGACAGGGCTATAACCGTCAAGCAACCTACCCCCCACCCCCCCTGTTAACATCCCTAAAAATTGATCAATTCAATCAATTTGGTTACTCAAAAAATGTTGCGATTCGTTTAATACATATATGGAGATTTAGGCCTCAGTCATAGATAATGTAAAAAAGTACATGAAATGTTTTGTATTTGAATTTGAATTTGAATTTGAATTTGAATTTGAATTTGAATTTGAATTTGAATTTGAATTTGAATTTGAATTTGAAGTTGAATTTGAATAAATTGCACATCTGGAAAATATATTCTTCTCACCTATACCCGCTGGGAGCTGTGTTGCTGAGTGTGAGAGTATGTGAGACCTGAAAATGTTGAGAAAGTCCTTTATTCACTAGAAATTTATATCCTTCGAACGCCATCGGGAAAACATCTTTGCACTTCTTGTGAAGGTCCTCCATGGAGCCGGGATTTTTATCAACCTCCACGGCGGGGGCTGCCGGAGTGACGGGGGTCTCAGCGGACACTTTATTGCCCATTTTTCCTGAAAAAAATGAATTTGATTGTAATGTCGCTAAATAGTCGGCTGGATTTTTTCTCACATAACGAAAATGGCTAATTCTTTGAAAAACAGAAAGATATGAAGAAATTATTGATTTTAACACCTGCTCGGCCATTTAATATTTTGTTTTAATTTCCGGAGTCGGCAGAAGTGATGCGGCCTGAAATGCAGGCTGGACGCCACTAGCGGCGTTGGAAAGCCAGCGGTAGCGAACGGAACTAAAACAGGCCTTCCGCATTTTCTTAATTAATTTGCGAAGTTTTCAAAATACAGGGTGCCCCACGAAATATGACAGTTGGTGAATTATAGTCTTCTTCTGCATATATTGTAGTAGATATTAAGGACTTTTTGCAGTTTATATCTAATCAATTTCACTATAATATATGCCATAAAATATTTATTATTATTCTCTTTCCCTGTACTAACCCGAAAACCTAAAAATACCAAAGTCCCTATATGGTATACATATTGATAGGTATTTTTATGTATTTTGGGTAAAGAACTTACGTATATTTACGTATTTTTACGTATTTATATCATACCATACCAAGAAATGATTCAAAGTTTCAGGTTTTTATTTTACGTATTTTTTAGGAATTTTTTCTTTACATTCACTGTTTACAATCTGATTAACCTAGCTCCACGCATGTCAGTTAAGATCTGTTACCCAAACAATTATCAGGTATAAATCATATTCAATTGTCCAGAGAATTGTTATGCTGTATTGTTACAAATGAATTGTTCAGATCAGAGGGGAATTAGGTATTAAAAATTCTAAAAATACGTATATTTTCGTAAATTTCACACCAAGTAAATTTCATACCAAGTTTTTACGTTTTAACAATACGTATTTTTACGATTTTTTCTTTACTTAATTTTTTTTACTGTTATAAAGTTTGAGGCCAACTTAAAAACAGGCCCGTGACCAGGGGGGGGGTGCAAGGGTGCAGGTACACCCCCCCCAGTCCCACATAAAAGAAATTGTTTCTCATAGTTTTCTAAAATCTAGTTCCCAACAATATAGCTCAAGCAAGAGTTGATTCCCTTCCCAAACCAAATTATAATCTTATTGTGTGTTACTATAATAGCCATTTTTGGGAGTTTCAAAAACATTATTTTAAGCGAGGATATTTGTCATTTTTAGTCATAGATGAAGGGTTTTTTGAGTACTCAAAAATTCACTGAGAATGTCTCAATGTCAATAAATAAACTCTTTTAAACAAAATATTAGAAATTTTATTTTCTATTCATCTTCATAATATCGATCATATGAGGCTAAGTAAGACTAAGTAAGTGTCAATATATTCACGAAACCTCAACTGCACAAAAATGCATTTTTAAGTTAGAATTTGAAAATATTTTGTACTCTTTTAAGAGAATTGTTCTGTAAGAAATTTAATCCAAACATTTTTGAAAATGCAATGTTTTAAAATTGCTATCATTTTTGAGTAAATTGATGTTTTCATTAGAATCAATTTCAGTAAATTCTCGATGTTTTGATAAATAGAAGTTTTACTTTGACAGTCTTGAAACAGGTATAATGCATAACACATATCTACTTCCAGTATCAACAGCTAGGCATATTCAGGGGGGGGGCTATATTTGGGCTAAGCCACCCCTGGACCAGTGAAATTTATTGATTTCAGGGGGTTTTCTTGCCCCATCGGGTGCTGAGCCCCCCCTGGAAAGAAAAAAATTTAAGCCCCCCCTTGGACAAATTCCTGTATACGCCCCTGAGTATCATGCAATTATGAAATGGGTTGACATCTCATATTCTTGTACAGGAAGGAGTAAAGATGAATTGGCTATTTTATTTCTAATGTTTTAATTAATAACAAATTATACAATACCTCTATCTACTTAAAACCATGTGAGCATGTTCTTAGTTTGGTTTAAAATTCTAAGTAGAGTGGGTTGACTTTTAAAGGGAAAAGTCCGGGCAAACAGGGGCGGATACAAGGGGGGGGGGGGGGGGTGTTTTCGCCCCCCCCCTGAGATTTCGAGGCAAAAGATGTTCCTAATTTGATAAATGTTATTGTTAACGATAAATTTAGAATTAGATATTTGTAAGAAACTAGACTTAAGTTATAATATTGTTCATCTAGTAATGTTCCTTAATCAATACTCATTTATCAAAATTGTAATATTGTTCCTAATTTTCATGCATTTAAGTATAACTAGTAATTTCTTTTTGTTCTTAAATTGCTAATGTTCCTATTATTGTTCCTGTTCCTAATACTGTGTCCGACCCACCTTAAATCCCTGTCCTAATTCTATATTTTTGTTCCTAATTCCTGAACAATCTGTTTATTGTTCCTAAATCCCTGTCCTAATCCTTTATTTTTGTTCCTAATTTTTGAACAATCTTTTTATTGTTCCTAAATCCCTGTCCTAATCCTTTAATTTTGTTCCTAATTTCTGAAAAATCTTTTTATTGTTCCTAAATCCCTGTCCGAATTCTTTAATTTTATTCCTAATTCCTGAACAATCTTTTAATTGTTCCTAAATTCCTGTCCTAATCCTTTATTTTTGTTCCTAATTCCTGAGCAATCTTTTAATTGTTCCTAAATTCCTGTTCTAATCCTTTATTTTTGTTCCTAATTCCTGAACAATCTTTTAATTGTTCCTAAATTCCTGTTCTAATCCTTTAATTTTGTTCCTAAAACTTAAAAATCTAGTTTTTTAGTCTTTAGGCATAAATTTTGACTCTTTTTGAGTCTTATAAGTCAAAAAAAAATGTTGTTCCTAATTATTCATTATTTTGTTCCTAAAAAATCTTGCCCCCCCCCTCACTTAAATCCTGTATCCGCCCCTGCAGGCAAAGCTTGGTTCCCAAGCTAGTATCTATAGGTTATAAAATAAAGTAATCTCTCTTTGAGTGTATATCTTTGTTTTGTTGGATGTCCGCAACTATATCTCATCAATACTACTGGGCACCGGTTTAAGGCCCCGTTTTTAAATATTCAAATTGTTCAACTTTTTTAAGAGGCTCCATGCAACACAAAGTCAAAATGTTTTAAAAACAGAGGATAAACCATTGCCATGCTATTCACTGATATGCATCCATTATATAAATAAATAGCTTGGGAACCCAGCGTTGCCCAGGTTACTCATAGTTACTCTGCACCGTTTACCCGCGCTTGGTCTGAAATTACAATACTATCTAATTTTCCCTATAAAAGTAGACCCAATCAACTTAGAATTTCGAAACTAATCTACGAACATTCGTGTGATTACTACTTAATATATATATATATATAGAATAGTTGATTTATCAAATACTAGCCGTTGTCCTAGAAAATATATATATAGAATAGTTGATTTATCAGATACTAGCCGTTGTCCTAAAATCCAGTTTTTAATGAAAGATCAAATTATGCGTTTAACATTGGCGCAACTATGGGGGAGGGGCGCCCATCTCGCCCATCCCCCCTCACTCCACTCTATCATGATCATCATCGTTTCTCAAATTCCAATTAGAAAAAATGCCAACATTTATTTTGGCGCTTTACATATCATTTTTAATAGAACTTCTAACTATACTTTCTCTTTTTCAACTTAAAAAAGGCAGTCTTAATTTATCCTACCACAAAACAACTGTATATATGTGTCATTCAAGATGAAAAAAAATGAGATCCTGTGAAATTGCATATTAATAAGAATCTGAAGAATAATTAGGATTATATCAGACTATAAGGACTTTTGCAGGCTTTAAGAGAAGTACAGGGGTAGGCCCCTTACTGGCAAATAATGGCAGAGGGATTTCAGAAAGACTTTATATGGATTATGGACAGAACTCACAGACCAAAGAAAGTCACAAAGCACTTCCAGAAACTATTACGCTTAGGACTACACAGACCTACAATTAAGGAACTATATATTGAATAAAAAGGACCAGTGGATAAATTACAAAACAAACTGATGTAGACAAAAGAACAGATTTTTTTTGCTGCTTCGCACAAACATTTAACAGCGTTTATTTAACAGACGTTGGAAGCATAATTTTTTTAACCCTATTCCTGCTGGGGGGGGTCAATTTGGCCCCCCCCCCCCTCTGTAGTTCTTTTTACATAACTCAAAAAGTATTGGTCTGAGGCTGTTTTCTGACTTTTCCTACTTACCCAAAGCCCTCCCTTTAGGCCTAAAACCGGGCTTTAATACTAACTGCCTGAGTCCTCAGGCACACTGCCTGAATGACTGCTTTTTTCTGAAACAAACTAAATCTTTGTTTTGACCCATTTTCACTTGTCAGATTTTGATAATATTTTTGGAAAGCCTATGACATAAGAAAACGGATTGCACAAGTTTTGCGAGAAAAAAATTGCAAATTTTTTGCAAACAACCTGTCAAAGGAAATTTGCACATTTNATATAAAAGTTTCTGTTGTAAAAAAATAGAGTGCAATTGTAATAGCTCTATTAATTAAGCTCTTAAAATGTGACGATTCCTTAGACATAATATTATAATGGGGTATAAAATGATTTGGCATAGAAACAAACAAGTTTACGGTTGCTGGGAATCTTCTTTGTGCACTGAATAAACAGCAAATGAATGTTTTTATGTTCATCAGCATATCCTGGTTTTCAAGTACCCCAGCAGGGATAGGGTTAAGCTTAAGAACAAGCCATAACATAATAAGAAATCGATATGTATTGAGCACATGAAACCAAATCTGTAACATATCGAAAAATTCAATTTTCTCAACTTCAAACCCTTAAAGACGCGCTTTCATTTTGAAAAAAAATCGAAACAGGAGATTGGGGTGGTTGCCCCCCTGATGCTTTATATTTAATGTATGTGGACTTTTTGGAACATTTATTTTTACATTTTCATGCTGTAATGTTTTCATCTCAATTTCCGTTTTATAATTAATAAACTAATATGATAAAGAAAGTCATGATTTTAGGTATTTACCCCCTCCCCTTTTCTTCTACACTTTTCTCCTAGAAAGCTGAGTTTTGAAAGGTTTATCATATATCTATATATACGTATATATATTATATATGATGTATTGTTAAGCCCCTCTGTAGGGGGTTTATTCAAACCTATAGGTTTAAAGGGAATACGCCTTTTCTATACACCTTAGTCCAGGATCATCTATTTTTTACTGGGTGTCTCTATACACCTTACAGTCCAGGCTCATCTAGTTTTTACAGGATGTCTCGATAAATATGAGAATTT